GGGGGGGCGGCCCCTTCTTCGGAACGCAGAAGCGATCTGGCGACAGGTAAGTCGCCAGGATCGCTTCTGTTGTAAAGCCAACAGTCGGCTCTACAAGTTTAAACAGACTCCCGGCGGCAAAAGTCGACAGGAGTCTGTTTAAACAGCTCCGATGCTGGCGACGTACACTGTACGTTGTCAGTCACAAAGGGGTTAAAAGAGATTTAAGAAGATTGTTTAGGAAGATTTAAACCATGTGACTACCCTGTTTCCCTGAAAATAAGACTTAGTACTATTTTTGGGAATTGCTAAAATATAAGACCTTCCCCCGAAAATAAGACCTAGTTGTGACCATTGCCAGGGCTGGTGGTGGCATAAGGGGGAACTTGAAGAGCCGCGGGAGAGAATCAGCGGTGCCAATGAATGGAAAGGTATGGCACCCCTGATTGCCCTGATCACACTATTCTTAACTTTGCCATTTTGGATTATTTAATTTGGATTTGCATTTACTTTGGATTGTTATATATTAAAAAATAAGACCTACCACGAAAATAAGACCTAGTGTGTTTTTTTGAGCCAAAAAAAATATAAAACAGTGTCTTATTTTCGGGCAAACACGGTATGAAAGTATTATAGTTTGTCACAGCTGCTGTATCGATCACTTTTGTTGGATAGCTAATGTAGAGCAAGAATGTTCAGGAGAGGAAGGTCCCTATGCCACACCCCATATATAACACATAGCGAAAAAACTCCAAACTACAGTTAAAGGGGGAACAAAGGAAAGGGGCTTTTTTTAGGCAGAAAGACCTTCAATTTAATATAAAACAACTTTATTTAACAACGATAAAATCCTTGATAAGGCCTATCGATAAGACTCATTGTGGCCTATATAAAGTCCATCCTTTGATAAATCCTATGACGTGTTTAGGAATTTCAACAGTGTTAGCCATTTCATTGTTGCTATTCACAAGAACTGTGTGACCTGCAAGGCCACAATGGGCCTTATCAAGAATTGTATTTTTTAAAAAATCTTTTTAACGTTGTTCAACAGTTGTGTTATTTTAAATTGAAGGTCTTTCTGCCTAAAAATAAACTCCTTTTCTTTTGTTCCCCCTTTAACTGTAGGTTGAGGGTTTTCACTATTTGTTGGATAGCTAAGCCTGCATGTATATTCAAAAACAAAAATAAATAAAGGCATGAAATAAAAACATTCATATCTTGACTACAATTATTACATGTATTAACCCCTTACAGTTTTTAGGATCTAATATTTGCTTGGTCATTTTCCCTATAACATTTTAATACATAGTATAACAAGCACTTACCAACAATACTTGTTTCATCAAGTCTCTCCATGTTTTGTCCACAGTTGAGAATCGTCTGCCCTCTTCAGGCATTTGAGCCATAATGTCAGGAGAACTAAATATAGGCTCTAAGTATAACCATGTAGCCTGCACTTTTAGCCACTCATCTAGGATTTCTTGCAGTAACAGCAATTTACCTTCCCATTCTCTATAAAGAAAGTACAGATGTTGGAGCTTCAAACAAACATTATACAAAGTAGTTGTTTTTTAAAAGAACTCCCTAGGAATTTTGTTTAACCCATGCAGTGGGGCTACCCCTGCACTGCAAGGGTTAAGTGTTAGTTTGTTTCTAGTTTTTAAAAAACAAAGTTATACTCACCCAAAGCTCTAAACCGCCTTCATCTTAGACCGGTCCTTCCAACATCTCTGCCCCTCCTCTGTAGTAGTCTAAGGTCCTATAAATCTTAAACATATTTACACTGCGTATAGACGTGAGGACGTTGAGGAAGATTACAATGCCGCAAGGAGGGGGAGACAGGCTGGAGGGCGCATCATGACAGCTGGCCGGCTCAGAGCTTCGGGTGAGTATATATTTTATTATTAATGAGCACTTAAGCCTTGCGATTCCTGGAGTTCTTCTTTAAATCTCATTTTCACAGACAATAAACAACAAAAAGGTGACAGTTGAGCATAACCAGCTAGGAGGAAAATTGTATAGATATGCAACATTTTATTATTAAAACTAGTCTTCTCTCCTATACTCTTGAATTTTGGAAGCCCCCACATTGTCATACATACTAGTGATCTTCTTCTTACTCCCTTGGTCTTACTGTATTCTGGCCTTTAAAATTAAAGCACGAAAAATTAAAGTACGAAATATACCTGCTGATCTTGCCAAAAATGCATTGTCTTTGTCATTTCCTGGGAGCTGTACTAGAAGTTATCTTCTGTCTGTAAACTCCCAGTCTCCCCATCCCCATGTGACTGAGATAAACAAAGGCAGACCTGTTAGAAATACAGCCTGAGTAGCAACCATGGCTTCCTCAACAGATACAGTGTAGGAGTGAGCATAGGGACAGGAAGTGGGCTACTCACAGAATGACCATGTGAAAATAAAGGGGAAAAAGCCTAAGAAAAAAAACAATGCAGCCACCTCATCTAAGGACTGATAAGCTGCAATATATTGCATTTGTGTTATTGGGTTTAGATAAGTTTTTAGGACCACCTTCTAATGGAGGCCTTTAAAATAACTGGATAATGCATGCGTCCTGCATCTTTTTATACCAGTGTCCAACTCTGGAGTACAGAAAATGCATTTGCTGTACCCATTATCTTTACTACAGCCTTACTGTTTTGGCTCTTATGTGCACATAAAATCTGCCTAGCACCAACAGGAGGATTTAGACACTGACAAACAAACAGCAATAAAACAGGCATGCTGGGAGTGGGAGAGATCATTCCAGCCTGGTTACTGTTTTTTGTTTGCTAGTGTTCAAATTCTCCAGTAGGCAGTAGTATAACCCGCCATTCTAAGACTTACTACAATTCTGTGTCCTTCAATAAACGCTAAATAAATACAATTTCCAACCTCTAAACATTATTAGCCAACTTGCCTACCTGAGCATCTATTAATTCCTAAATGTGCACTGTCTAGATAAATGCTTAATACGAACACTATAGCTTATTTACCAATAGAAAGGCTTTAAAAGACTCTTAAAATGTGGTATGCATATGTACTGTAAATCTATATATGCTTTTACTGTATCCCATAACTTTGAGAATAAACCATTTAAGTAAATACATTTTAGGATTTAATAATCTAATGCAGCAGTGCCCAAACTATGGTCCGTAAAGGCAGGTTACTGCATGCTGGGTGTCATAGACCGACCCCTGCAATGAGAAAGCCCTGCATGCAGGGCTTTAATATTCTAATGCAGCAGTCCCTGCAGGTTGCAGTGTACAGGCCACTGCAATGAGAAGGCACTGCTGCAGGGCTGTCTCATTGCAAAATGTAAGCAGAGCATTCCAGCATCTGGCAATGTAACAGGCACCATAAGGCAGCGTGATCCTCTTTCCAATGGTGACTGTATAGTCTCAGCTGTGATGTCATCGAGAGGAGTAGCATAGGGCATGGAAACTACACACAGAAAAACCAATGCTGGGGGGATATTTCCCACTGACACAGCGGCACTATTCCTCTAACTGACCACTGACGCAGGGCAATTAATTATTGACCATTAACACAGGGGCATTTTTTTTTACTTTTACAGGCACAGGGACATTTTTTTTACTCCTACTGAGCACTGTCCTATGGGCAATTTATTACTTCCTTACTTACTTACTTACTACCACAAGTGCAGGGGTATTTTTGACCACTGCAATAGGGACATTTTACTTCCACATAGGGAATTTATTACTTCCACAAGTGCAGAGGCATTTTTTACTCCCACTTAAGTAGGGCCTTTTTTAGACCACTGATGTAGGGGCATTTTTGTTCTACTGACCACTGACGCAGGCGCATTTTTTACATGCACGGGTCCAGTAGTATTTTTTTACTCTCAATGACTACCAACGTAGTGGCCTTTTGAACTCCCACCAACCACGAATGTAAGAGCATTTTGGTCCCACTGGCCTCTGATGCCAGGATGTTTTTGTACTCCAGTCCATCCCCCAAACAGTGTGTGATGGACAGTGAACTAGCCCTTCATTTAAAACATGTGGGGACCTCTGTTCTAAGGGATAACTTGGAAGTGATTTTTAAACTTGTGATGTTACTATTCGTCCATTCTCCCTTTATAATCACTGCATATAATACTGGGCTGCCAACTTCTGCTAATGGCTGATCAACAATGGATGTTGTTTATTTCTCAGTGTATTCAATAATCATACAAGCTTTGTAGTCCTGTGCAACTTTCCAATTCTGAAATTGAGAGAAGGCAACAAGTAGACATTGCAGTTTATGATTAACAAAAAAGTAATATGATCAGTATCAGTCTAGTCTCTTGAATGTGCAGAATGATAGCCACATACTATGTCAAATAAAGCATTTACCTGATTTCATTTTCAAATGCTTTCATAAACGGAGATCCTCTCATGGTTTGTGTTTTAACAACATGGTCATCGAGCAGCATCTGAATATCATCAACAGATGACAGAATATATGTTCCTGTTTCCCGATACTGAAGTAGGATAAATTCCATCTTATCCCACTCTGAAATCATTTTCTCCATTGCTTTTTCAAGCGAATGCTCCTTGCTTGCAGACTCACTGATACCTTCAAATTTGTCCAGAAAAGGCTGAAGTTTCATATCTTTGAACTTGGTAACATTTGTGTCATCTTGTGGTTTAATTGGATATCCGACAATAGCTGACATGGCCTCCCAGTGCCTGTCCCGTAGTCCAGGATTACAAACAATCTGAATAAGTGGTATCATTTCTTTGAATTGTTCTACTTTCTCTTTGGTTTCGGAAGTTAGAGACTGGGCATGTGGAGAATTTGTAAATGTCCTTTCCAGTTTGTATAAGGCTCTCCAGTAGTTTCCTACATCTTGTTCTACAAGATCAGGATTTACTGTAGCATATGGTGCTTCCATCCAATTTTTGCACTTTGTGTTAAATTCGACTATAATCTCATACAGACGAAGATAGGGACTAAGAGAGTCCTGAATTTTTTTCCTCTGCGGGTACTGTGAAGTTGCCCACCCAAATGCTTCTTCCTCTGCATTAAATTGATCAATCTGAAATATTATTTATCAAAACAAAAATTATATTTATACATAATTGATACCATTTCTACAACAATTTACTGTAAATTATAAATTGCACATTAACATTTTTTTCTACTCTTTTTTTTTATCAGCAAAGTGTTGAAAGAGTTATAAAGCCCTTTACTGCCAGCACGAATGTTGAGCCTATGCTTTCAAACACCCAGAGAGTTGTAAGGATACAAAGAATCTAAAGTACAAAGAGGCAAAGTGGAAAAAAGACAAACAATGCATTTTCAAATTTGCAATAAAAACCTTGAAAATAGCAAAAAACGGAGTTGTCCATAGTGCCCATTCATATTTTATTTTATTTTATTTGGTCACTAGGAAAACAACCCAGCTTCTGTGTCACTTATTTTCCTCTAGTTTTTCTACACAGACCCATCATATATTAAATTGAAAGTATTTATGTAATACAAACCTTTTCTACTGCTTGATCCAGTTTTGAATTTAGAGCTTGTGCCTTTTTCAGGTATTTGCTTACTTCATGAATATCACCATATGATTCAAATTCTTCCACTTGTTTTCCATAGTTTTCTAGCTCTTCAACAAACTTCTCACAGCGCAGCTGCTCATCAGTTAACAAAATATTGGAAAGTTAAGGGTTGCATATTTATATGTTATAAATGTGACTTTAAATTATAATAATAATATATTGGAATATACAGTGTATGTAATTCATCGCCAAATTAAAATCATGTGGAATAAAGGAATCTTTCAGCCTCAAATCAATGTACTTTTTGAAAAAACAGGGATCCAAGAGGATCTGATGATTTATTTTGCTTTATTTCTTTGTGGATGCATTTTGGTGTTGAGCCTTCCTACTGTAATGTCCTAGGAACAACCCCCTTGAATGCCACAAGGTAACTATAATACAAAAAGGACCTAGATTGCTAACTACAAACAATAAGCCATTATCTGAGGTGTAAAAGTCACAATTTAAACTCGGTACCACCAACACTGGGGACTTTTCTATGTCCCTTTCTAGTGGTCTAAATAATTTTTTTTAATTTTGTAAAGTTTACCAATCTTCTTATACTTAAAGAACTGCATCTGTTTTAGGAATCAATATTGTAATGCTTCTAGCACACTTTTTTGCCATGGTCTGCATAACTTAAATCTCAAATTAACAAAATGGCAGCTGCCTACATCATCATTAACTGACCATCCAGGCTCCTGTGGAGGAACAAGTACACAGTAAATACTATCCTGTTCTTTAGCATGTATTCCAGCATTCAGTGCACCTGAGGAAATTCAGTCGCACCTTCTTGCCTTCTGTTAGTCCATCTCACACGTTTGCCGATTGTTCAACATGTTGACATTTCCAGACAGACATATTCAGAAATGCTGGGATCACAAAGTTTATTCAAAAGATCAGATGTAATGAAGATTTCAAGTAAACTCACTGGCTCTGGCAAGGCAGCTCTCAAACAAAAATGTCTTTCTCAATGGGTAACCAGAAACTCAAAGTATATTTATATAAATCTCTCCTTTATGTTGCAAATGTGCACTGTTGCCAACTGCAGCAGAACATAGTGCATGTTTGCAGTATTTTTACTCTTTTATTTTTACTTTTTTTGTTGGCACCCATTTATACCTATGAAAACATTTAGCAGCATTCTCATGCTCTCCATACTACCATAACATCACTGAGTGGAAGAACAGCAAACCACCCTTTAGCATTACACACGGGGGCGAAGCTGACAATACCCAGTAAGCATGCTAGATTTTGGTAATGTTTGAGTTTCAACCAATAGGCTCCCTCTTTGTTTGTCCTGCCCACCTGTTAGCTGATTGGTTAGCTGTGTTTCCTCAGGTGCATTGAATGCTGCAATTTGTAGAGCACATGAAAGTACTTCCTGTTTACTTGTTCTTCCACAGAAGCCTGGATAGTCAGTTAGTGATGATGTAAGCGGCAACCATTGTGATTGATTTTAGCAACAAAGTTAAGCAGACCACGGAAAATTCTTAGTTTATATGAAGAAAGGGTGTAACATTTAAATTGCTCATTGAATAAGTGTGCTGGACTCATTACAATATTGATTGTCAAAAAAAAGTGATGTTGTAATTTAAAAGCATACTAAAGGCTCAAACAGCTACCAACAGAAGGGTAAGATAAATGCTGCTGTATTCTATACAGAATGCAATCTACATGCAAGTACAAAGCTGGCTCAAAAAGCAAAGCAGCAGTTGACCTCAAAGACAGAGTAGCATTGCACCTCCCTGCGCTCTCTGCTCTATACCTACTGCAATGGAAGAGCAGATGATAAAAATTCAGCATCTGAGCCCCTTACCTACTATGTGTCTGTTCTTACCCCCTTGGATATATCAGAATAGTTCACATAGAGCCAAAACAGGAAAAGTACTATAACATGGAAGCTGAGAATATGTTTTCTAACCTTCAGTCCATCTTGATACTGTTTGGACTTTTCATCTATTATCTTTTTGTGCTCCTCAAATATTTCTCCCATACGGTCATGCCACTGAAAAGTGTTGTTGTTTAGACGAATATCTGCAGGGGACAGAGAGACGTAATCGACGAGGAAAGTCAGGCGGTTTTTGGATTCTACAAGCTTCTGTTCCAAATCCAGCATATCTTGAGATTCAACTTTCTTAATATATTCCTGTTTAGAAAAATGCATGAATTAATGAATTGCAATTGAACCTCTGCACAATGTATTCACACATGAACATTGTAGAATTTACTTTGTAAACCTGAATATGCTAAAGTCATGTCATGTAATCTTGAATTTTCCAAGACTGGATAAAATTTCCAAATATGTTACCCATTAACTCGTGACACTGCCTTCATTCCTTGTGATGTACCTTTGTTTTGTGTCATGATCTGCAAGCCTTGAATACTTCACCTAAAATGTACCTCTTTCTTATAGAATGACAAAGACATTATAAATGTCACTTCCTCGTATCTACTAAATGTGAATATTTGTAGTTTATGTGCTTTACAAAGGACTTTTTGGCATTTTATATGTACATTTTAACTTGCACCACAAGAAAACTTTAATCAGGGTAACTGCTGCCAAAACTGGAGAAAAGAAAATGAGAACAAAAGTGGAGTTGACCATAGCAGCCTATCAGAATTCTTGTTTAATTTTTTGCATAAACTGAAAGGTGATTGGTTCTTATCAGCAACAACTCCACTTTTGCTCCAAATTGTATTCTCTACAGTTTTTGCACGACACCCTGAAACCAAGATAATGCTTTCAGACTGGACCTTCTTGGAGAAGGTATGTGACCAGGATCTCATCATGCTTCCTACCTTGTTCTGCCTTCTTACTCTTCCTATAGAATATAGGAAGATAAGTACAGTAATGAACTGATGTACAACCTACTCCAAAGCATACTTTCCTTTCCCATGTACAACAAGATAGCTATGGCTGCTTTGCTGTGGATAGCAGCTAAGTGAGCAGTAAGAGAGGTTTTTCCTTGAAAGCTTGAAAAGATAGAATGTTCCTAGCGTATTTTTTTTTATTTATCCTCAGAATATTTGTTCACATAAACATATAAACAAATGCATAGGAAGTGGAGACTAGGGCAGAGATGGAGGACAAATTAATATGTTTATGGTATACATAGGGGAAAATGCCTTTCATCATATTTTAATATCATCATTTAATATGTTAAATCTGTATTCATAATGATTTATTGATTGTTTAATTTTAATACTGATACCTTTAACTCCATTAGTTCCTGAGTATTTGGAGGAGTACTCAAAGCTTTTTCAGCAATCTTCTCAAATTCATTACACAACCTGGCAAAATATGTTACAAACATTTATTTCTGAATTTATGATTGTAAACAGAAAAAAGATAAGATAATAAAAATAAACAAGGATGTTTAGTTGCTAGTATATTGCCCAGGTAAGACTAATAAACAAATTAAGTGCATTATGTGACAGTAGTAGAGACACAAAGTTGCAAACAAATGACATTTTCTACTTAAAGCTGATCGGTAGCCAACCCAGTAAAGTTATATTGGTATCCTACTAGATTGTAATCTCTCATGAGCAGGGCCCTCCTAACCCCATTGTACTGAAATTGTATTGTAACTGTACTGTCTGACAGGTTATTTTGGAAGAGATAAACCATATATTTTATGCCTCTGAATCTAAACTCTTTAAAGCTGGCCATACACTGTAATATTTTCTTTGTTTAACCTGCAGGCTGAACAAGGAAGATATTACAGATTCCACCATCCACGCTTACGAGCATTGATCAAGGAATCTCCTGCTGTCTTCATTGTATTCCGAGTACTCGAACAGAGCTGACAGCTCAATGGCTGGCTGCTCTGTTCGTTCAAAGATTTTCTGACCGGCTCCTTCGATCAGCTGATCAAGGGATGCCGACCGAAAGGGTGTCGACAACGGCACTCACTGTGCACATTTCGCCCTGTTTATCAAGAACTGGCCGAAATTCACACAGTGTATGACCACCTTTATATTGCAATTTTGTCTGAAGGCATTGGGTAGGAGATTTAAGAGGTGGTGGAAACAGAGCATCATTGTCTAATTTGGAGGAAAACAGATTTCCAAGAGACTGTGGTCAAGAGAATGCACAGTGTTCTTTTACATATTTTCTTTATTAGTTTTGTTTAGGACTAAACAATAAATACAGTTTTCATGTATGCAAGGTAAATGAAATATTGCATGTGACTACGTATTTCATATTTACATTTCCAGCCAGCAGGTGGAGATTTAGGCCACTTTTCACATTTTTACCTGTATATTCTTAGCTGCTTTGTTAAACAAAATCTGTCGTTTATAGAACTAGCTGGCTGCATATGAAAATACAAAATATTTGTATGCAATATTTTATATTTACCCAATTAAAAAAGGAAAACTATTTATACAACTATTTTTAACTTGGGGCTACCTGACCTCTGGGGCTACTCGAATGCTTAATTTCTAGAAGAACTCCAATATGTATTTCAACCTTTTGCAGATAAACTACAGAGCATGGTGGAACAATTCATAATACCAAGACAGAACCCCAGATTGTACCTCCTAACCTATTTTACTGAGGATCAACCAACTTCTCAGGCCTATCAGACTATAATAGCTTTGGCCATTGTATGGCTAACCATATTCAAAGCACCAATATCCAACATTGACACTAATAAAATCGCTTTACATATTGTAATGTTGGGGAGCTCACAGATCACTCGCACAGCTTTTCCATTAACGAAAAGTCTTTATTTCTCTTTCAAAAGGCAGACAGTAAAGGAAGTCCAACATAAATAGCTTGTCTCCAGCATATAACATATATGGGCTCACCAATCCTCGAGGTGTCACACACACTCACAGTGTCCCAGTCCTGTAACAGTTTTAATAGCTTCTCTTGCAGCACTGCTGCTCCGGCCTCAATCCCCAGGGCCCCTGTCTGTCACCTCCAGACAACCCCAGTAACGTGCTAACCCGCACAATAGGTATCACGAACGCGCTGCACTGGCCCCCACTCTGACTCCTGGGTGGAGTTCTCCTGACTCACAGGTGGGGCCCTGAACATGAGCCAGCATTCTTCTCATAAGGGCTGTGCCCAGGTGCATAATCTTTCAGTGCTGGTTACCCCTAAAGCCTGGACCCAGGAATGGAAATGTCATCCCTCCCAATGCTCTTTGAAATCTCCCAGTTCCAGGAACCCATGCCAAATCCCGAAAACCTGGGAAGAACTGCAAAGCCAGCTCTTTCCCAGTAAACGTTTGCACTTTCTGGAACTGCTCAGCCCCCCTGGCTGAGAGACCTGGGTGACTATATTGCCAAAAGACACCCTGGCATTGCCACAATATATAAATATTTGAACACCTGATGTATTTCCACTTTTGCAGACACAGTACAATATAAAAAACCCCTCTATATGTTTGTTATGTGTTTCTATCCACACAGCATACTGGAAAATAAATTTTAAGAAATATTTATTTTAGATGTTTTTGTGTAGCTGGCCTTTGAAGCTTCTCTGTACAATTTCTAAGTGACAAGAAATTAGTTGTCCCCAGAGAAAGAGCAGGGGCACGCTGAGCTTCCTCTCATTAGCATCCAATGCTTCTAGATCTTTAACCCTTTGTTAGGACAGACAGTATTCAAATCTAGTTAACAACTGGTAATGAGATCTGTCAGCACAGTACAACCAGGCTTAATCAGGTTAAAAAATAACTTCCCACCCCCCTTGCATTCCAGAGGAAAACTCAGTTTTAAAAAAAGCATTTATTTCAGGAAAGAGCAAATAATATGTAAGAAGCAATTTTTAAATATTTGTTTTTAAGTTATGCTACGTGAATGAGAACTCATAACAAATATAAAATAGCTGTTCTCACAATTTAGCTGCAAAAGTGTAAATACAATTAAAAACAAATTATAGACACTCACATTGTGTCAACCACTTAGAAATCTAACCCCAACAAATATTTAAAGGATAATCACACTTTAAAACAAAGTGCACTTATCCCTTTTGCTCCTTTGCCCTGACCTACTGTAACCCACACTGCCCCTCCACAGATACATACTTGAGAAAAATATATATCAAAGCGCTAAAGGTATAACTAATATGAAACTTAGTACGATCAAGTGATATAGTGAAATTAGGGTTTAAGCGGTCTAGCCCTAAACCAAGTGATATGTCTTACAAAGGATCATAAAAGAAAAAATAAGAAAAAATACAATTAATAGTTCAATTGTGCTGTGGAAAAACAAAAAATTATTGGGACAATAAAAAATTTCAACCACTGTGTAAAGACCTCAAATATATAACAATATATAAACGATCCGGGCAAAAAATATATATTAAAAAATTGGGATAAAATGTTCAACGAAAAATAAACGTAAAAAACGTGTACAAAGGATGGTGATATATATTTCGTAGCAGTGGTCCGACAGCCCCTCTTGGGTGGGTACTCACCAAATGGAGTTGGATCGAAGGCTTTTAGTTAGTGACACTTGAGCCTGCAATCGTGCTTTCAAACTTGGACCCAGTTGTTTTTACTCTCAGTCCCTGCAAGGTGAGTGTTTGGTTTTTCTCCCTTGTAGCGCTGGCTGTATCCCAGAAGTGAAGCTGGATCGTCTCAGGCGCAGTGTCAACGAAACTCCTTGCCATGGTCCCGCAGTATTTCGTTGAACATTTTATCCCAATTTTTTAATATATATTTTTTGCACGGATCGTTTATATATTGTTATATATTCGAGGTCTTTACACAGTGGTTGACATTTTTTATTGTCCCAATCATTTTTTGTTTTTCCACAGCACAATTGAACTATTAATTTTATTTTTTCTTATTTTTTCTTTTATGATCCTATGTAAGACATATCACTTGGTTTAGGGCTAGACCGCTTAAACCCTAATTTCACTATATCACTTGATCGTACTAAGTTTCATATTAGTTATACCTTTAGCGCTTTGATATATATTTTTCTCAACTGTTGATAGGATTCTTCTATCCTCTTTTTAGAGCTGCTTTAGGTCTTAATTTATTATACATTTCCACTTTAGTCTCCTTTCCAGAAGCGCGGATTATCTATTTCTCACAGATACATACTTACCTCAATCAGCCACGGCCTCCGGTGTTTGATTGCATCCAGTGCTACAAGTCTCACCCTCCAAGCCACGTCTGTGTATTACAGCCTTGTACAAACATACATTTCTATGGGTCTGTGTCCCGAAACTGAAGACTTGTACCGATTGAGTCAATTAGCTAACACTGTACAGTAGAATACCCAACACTGTGCCAATACTATGTAAATACTCTAAAGGAAACTTCTCCAAGTGTTGAAAAGAATATGATTAAGTGGGGCACCTCACACACTATATTTGGTCCTGCCCCATTCACAAGGGAGCTCATGCTGTATTTTGGCCATTAGGATAAAACGGGCACACCTAAGATTCCTGCTGCAAGAATCTATAGCTTCTTGCCTCAGGAATCCCAAAATGCAGCATGTGAATGCAGCCTTAGAAGCTTGGTAGCTCATTTTGATAGCAGCTTAACTTACAATTACCAGCAACTGAAAAGATGAACAGGCGCCCAATTTATCTTAACAGAGTAGATATCCAGTTTACGTATAAGAAAATTATTGCCCAAAAAGATAACAACCTTAGGCAATCCTTCCTCCAATGAGATGCTTGGTGTAACCCTAATCTGCTACCGTAAATACAGATATACAGTAGTATGCTGAAAGCACCCATATTTATGTACCCTAAATTACCCTGAGAGGAAACCAGCTATAAAAGGCTCTGTTAAACTTGTTTTATGTTGTATTATGATTATTATTACAAAGATATTGTAAATGTTTTCACTGTTTATATGTCATCGAACAATTCCACTCTTTTCAAATGTCATTCTTATGACAAAATATTGTATTAATAAAAAATGCTGCTTTCCCATAGTATTACCATTGCAGAAATATTGTATGATGATGAAAATGCCAATAAAGTACAAATAAAATGTGTTAAAATGGGCTGAAAATCTCGGCTTATACTCGAGTATATACGGTAGTCCTAATTTTCATTAAAAAATAAATACATTTAAACCTACATAGAGAAATCATTACTAGGATATTACACAGCAAAATATGTTTAGAACTAAATAAAACCAAACTGTACAGCAGAAAGATATTTAAAAAAATAAGCCCTGCCAAACTAAAATGCAGCCAAGAACTCACCTTCTATTAGCCTCCTGGTGTTCTGTAAACATTTTCTCCATCAGTTTTCCACAAATAGCCTCTGAACGTTTAGTCAGAGCTCTGATTAATTCATCACAGTGGAGTTCAAACATCCCTAAGCGAAATATCTGAGAAAAAAGAGAAAGCATGTTTTCATGTATCTTTACACATGAACACACGTTTATTTACCAAATACATAGACATACGTTCTTAGTTTTTATTAGATTTTTTAAGACTTTCTCAATATATATATGCTAGAAAGAAAACTATGGTCTATTTAAAATGACCCTGTCAGCACAGGGTCACAGGTATAGAATTACCGTTAAAAGAAAAGTCACTATACTTTTTAAGATTTAATAATTTCTAATAATGCAGAGTTAATTGAGGATATTGCAATTGGGGAGACACTGGGTAGTAGTGATCACTATGTGATTACTTTCAATATTGGGAACAGGAAAGGAAAGTGGGTCGGTCGGACAAAATCCGTAAACTTCAGAAGGGCTAACTTTGATGAGCTGCGCCAGCTAGTGAGTGACATCAATTGGGAAAACGTATTTCACAAACTGAGCATTGACCAGAAGTGGGATTGTTTGAAGAACACATTATACAGTATAATGCTATTGCCAAGTGTATACCATTGAGTAATAAAATTAAAGATCAAAAACTAAGCCTATATGGATAAATAGAACAGTGAAGCAACACATCAAGAGACAAGGACAAGAGAGTGGCATTTAGAAAATATAAGATGGAGGGGACGGCATTGGCGTTCCATAACTACAAAGAATGTATTAAAAGATGTAAAAAAGTAATTTGGGCAGCTAAAATAGAGTGCGAAAAGCAAATAGCCACAGTTAGTAAAAGGAACGCAAACAAATTCTACCAATACATAAACAGTAAAAAGGTAAGAAAGGATCAGATAGGCCCAATAATGGACGAAAACGGGAAGTTAGTCACAAACAACAGGGAGAGGGCCGAGGCGTTGAATACTTTTTTCTCCTCAGTATACACTCAGGAAAAAGACGGGTTTAATGTGCATAAGAAAACACATAGTTCAACACAAAATATACCTCAGTGGTTGACAGAAACCGGGGTTCAACATAGACTTAAACTACTTAATGCAAATAAAGCAGTGGGACCGGATAACCTGCACCCCAAGGTACTTAAAGAACTCAGCCAGGTTATAACGAGACCATTATTCCTCATTTTTAAGGACTCCTTAATGACTGGTAGAGTACCAAGTGACTAGCGGAAGGCTACGGTAGTACCAATATTCAAAAAGGGTCAAGATGCCAACCTGGAAACTACAGGCCAGTTAGTCTTACATTGATAGTTTGCAAACTATTAGAGTGAATGATTAAGGATTACTAAGTAGAGTTTGTTAAGGATAATGGCATAGTAAATGATAACCAGCATGGATTTAGGAAGGACCGTTCCTGCCAGACCAACCTGCTAACTTTTTACGAAGGGGTAAGTAGAGATCTGGATGGAGGGAGGCCGGTGGATGCAGTATATCTGCATTTTTCAAAAGCTTTTGACACGGTACCACATAAACGCTTACTACACAAGCTGAGATCCATGGGCATAGATGGAATGGTGTGTACATGGATAGAGAACTGGCTACAGGAATGTGTACAGAGAGTATCAATAAATGGCACCTTTTCAGACTGGTCTAGGCTCATGAGCAGTGTGCCTCAGGGTTCTGTGCTGGGCCCCATCCTAGCCAACATGTTTATTAACGATATTGGGGAGGATGTTAATAGCCATGTTTCAGTGTTTGCTGATGATACCAAAATCGGGAGGATAGAAACGGACTTAGACATTATAACATTACAGGAAGACCTAGATAAAATAGGGGAGTGGGCAACTATATGGCAGATGAGGTTTAATGTCGATAAATGCAAAGAAATGCACTTTGGTGTTAGAAATAAGCAAATGGGCTATACAATTATGGGTATGCCACTAGGGAAGTCAGAAATGGAAAAGGATTTGGGGGTCATTGTAGACCACAGATTGAATAATAGCTTGCAGTGCCAGGCTGCTGTAAACAAAGCAAGTAGAGTCCTGCCCTGTATTAAGAAGGGGATGTATTACAAAGGCAAGTCTTTAATTTGGCTACTGACAGAGCACTGGTTCCGCCTCATCTGGAGTATGCGGTCAAGTTTTGGTCACCAGGCCACAGAAAGTATGTCCTTGAGCTGGAAAAAGTCCAGCGGAGGGCAACCAAACTCATTCTGGGGATGGAGGACCAGAGCTATGAGACAAGGCTAATAAATTTAAATATGTTCAATTGGAAGTAAGGAGATTAAGGGGGGACATGATTTTCATGTACAAAATGTTCAATGGTGATAGCAACATTAGCAACAAACTCTTTACGGTTAACTACACAACAAAGACTAGAGGCCACCATCTAAAATTGGTGGAGAAAAAATTTCAACACAAGGGGCGAAGGGGGTTCTTCTCAGTTAGAGCGGTTAGGGTCTGGAACTCGCCGCCACATGCAGTGATTTCAGCTAAGAGTGTGGAATCGTTCAAGAAGCTTTTGGACGATTTCCTTAGGGGCCGTAATATACAGGGGTACAGGTACTCTTAAGAACAAGATCACACAGGGACCCATACACACGCACACACCAGCAGAACCATATACTGTACATACATGCAATAGGTTGGACTTGATGGACTTATGTCTTTATTCAACCTCAAATACTATGTAACTATGTACTTTCCTTTCCTGTAACCCATTTGTTGAAACCCCACCTCTCAGGGCATGCAACTACTACATAAAGCTATGTAGGACTGCTCACTACAGGATATACAAGCCAGCAAGAGGAACCACAGCACGTGTTGGGGGGGAAACAGGTATTTCACCAATTTGACTAGACACATATCTGCAGCAGCTAGTGAGCAGCACAGAGATGGTATTTCAACAAACATGCTGCCAAAAAGATAAAAATAGTGGGGGTAATTTATGAACGTATTTGCGACAAAATTTTTAGGTGCCAGGACCAAAATGTCATGCTAACTAACCGCAGAGTTTTATTTCTGTTATGTATCTTTATGTATTTTTTAAGTGCCGAACAATCATGTAACCACTGATTGCTCAGCTCACTGTCTCCTCCCTGCAGAGAGGAGTGACTGTCATTCACTGCACCCCCAAAGATTCTCCCCTCCCCTCTCTGTTCCTCCAACACTTACTGGAGGAATAGACACCGCTCTGACTTTAGGGATTAATCAGGCTGACAATATTGTCAGGATCCTTCCTAGCTGCAGCATGGCTCTGCGCTGTCAGCATAGGAGCGACATGTATAACCCTTTGTTTGAAAGTATGAATAAGTGAATGTTTAACAGGGGGACAACCCAAGGAAAGCAAGGAAAGTACCTTCCAAGAAGTAAATTTACGAGATTTTAACATGGTTGGGATTACAGAATCTAAAATGCCTCTGTTACTCAGAACCTGGGTTTCAACAGCCTGCCTGCCTGCACCTGAGAAGCAGAGAGGAAGATTAGTCCTTGAGGTAATAGATCTAGGTAAACTGGTAGAGGTTATGAGCAATGGCTAACATACGAATGAGGTTGGCGTACCATATTCTTTCAGGCCAGGCTGGAGCTATGAGACGATTGGCATGCCCTCAAGCCTTTGAAGTAAATAAGGTAAACGTTTTAGCAGAGGAAAAGTGTTGGAATGTACAACATTTTCATGTACTAAAACTGCCAAACATCTAACTTCAAATATTGAATCTAAGATTGCATGGGTCATCAAAGAAACCAGCTGTGTTTTCGAAGTGCTGGAGGCCATGGTATTCATCCCCGCAGGAGGCATGGCAAGGGAACTGATAACTTTACCTGGCTAGCATCTACTGCCATGTTGCACATTGCCTGGCAACCAAATGGAAAGGGAAATCTGCCTAACAGTCGCAAACAGCAATAAAAACCTGACAGAGATTCTAACACATTCAATTCTATTTAAAACGTAAATAAAAGAAAGTTTTGGTTGCCATTCCATCTTAACATACAAACATATAATAACACAATAACAACATTCTATCTGCACTTAATGCATGTATGTATCTTCCCTAAATAAACTAGAACACTTTCACTAGCATTTAATAGAATAAATATTTACCCTTCTTGAATTGTACTGTATTTCATCTGTTAGTTGTTGATACTTTATGGCCTCTCTCATTATTTCCTCAAATGTATGTCCCTCAGCCAAAAATTGATCAGCATCCAAATCTGCTTGCTTGGTTGTCAGGAAATTGTATTTGTCATATATTTTCAAGTGTTCTTTTGGCAAAAAGCTCTCCAAAGCAACAAATTCTTGTACTTGTCTTTTGTGCTTTTCCAAAACGTCCTCCAGGATGATTGGTCTCAAAGTCATTTTTGACACATTGTCCTGATTGGATGATAAGGAACAGTTAATATGGTGAGCTCAAAGGAACATGGTTAGGATTAGAGAGAAACACTAGACAGAAAGTAAAAAGGCGATGAGTAGACATAATGTTCCATCAGTTATACTGCCTATACAGTTCACAGTTTCAGTTTATTTAAAACAAACAGCCAATTGGGATGCATTTAATTTTAAAAAATGCTAATAGAAACATGAGGACTACATCGCTTATCTTCTTCTTAAAATGATAGCTGTCTGGCTGATGCTTAAAAAGGAATAATATTTGCATCTAGCTCGAACGTGGCTGTAAAGCAAACCCAAGTCATTTGCAGTTTGCAGCTTCAGCAAACTGGGGAATTGTCCTTCCTTTAGGTTAAACTGCTTTTGAGGGGTATTTTTGCTGCAAGGCTTCCAATTAATAAAGGGGTGTTTTGTTTCAGAGATGGTATTTTGTGTTTTTTTAAATTTCTGTTGAGGGTTTCTTGATTTTCATTTCATGTTATGTCGTGGAGCTGCCTTTTGTTCACAACACGCTGCTGAATCATTTGAAAGAAAAAAAAAGTGTAATAACAGTGCATACCTAAAAACCCTAACATTATATCACTTTCATTAAACACCCCCGATTCCCCCAATAGAAAAGCTAAAAGTTAGGCATACACCAGTTAGCCTATTATCCCTAATTAAAAATGTCCTGCTACTGGTCAATTTTATACTGCTGTATGCTCTCTTAATTCTTGTATTAAAACCCCTACCTGTGCTCTTTTCTTTAGTAAGTTTGGGGCTTTATTTTCTATTTAAAATTGTCCTGTTGCCGGCCAGTTTTCCTCTTCTGTATCCTCTGTGGTCTCTTCATTCTTTTATTAAATTCCCTTACTTTGCTATTTGTGTGTCACAGCACATCAGTATTTAGATGCAGGAGAGCTATGTACCTAACTTTAACCAGAAATTAGTTTATCAAACATAGAATAGGGATCCCACGAGGAACAGAAAAGCCAGCAGCCCCCCTGGGACCAATTGATTGAATTTTTTAAGTTAGAGAGCTTGCGAGATGTTTTTGCTTTTATGCATACAAACCCCGAGCTATGCAAGCGGGTAGAGAGTCGAAAGGACAACTTTACCTGTTCAATAAGTGCCAGGGCTGGAAAATGTACAGGAGAAAAACCTACAAGAAAAAACAAACTGACAGCAACTGGCCTAGTTGGTGTGGCAGACAGGGATCTGTTTGTTAAACCATAATTGCCATCTTCCTCAATCATTGCACCTACACAAATTATATACCGTTTTTAAGGGACAAAATGGACTTTAATTTGATGTGACATATGCATATATAGTCTTATTTTTTTATTTTAAAAAAATGCAAAAAATGAAAACAAAAACACATTTTTCACAGTTTTGCTAATAATAATGTGCACATAATTAGTGTAGCTAACAGAAAGTAATTCATAATACATTTTTATTTGTCCTGATTTATAGAGTATAGCATATGTCTGGGATTTCAGTTTATTATGGGAGTTATAGGTCTCAAAATACAAAAGTACAATTTTAGTTTGGAACAATTTTAGAATGTGGTATAATTTGTCTCCTATCTTTATTAGCCTCCTCAGCATATATATATATATATTTTAAAAAATGTAACTTTCAAAAAAAATTAAAACTAAATTTTTTAGTTTTAATTTTTTTTTAAAACTAGGGAGCACTTAGGGTTTTTTTCTATTTACAGGGGCTTTGATACTTACTATATCTGAGGAGAATACAGTATTCTCCTCAGAGATACTTTGTATCAGTTTGTAACACACAGACGGCTCACAGCTGACAACACAGTGAGTTGCTGCCAGATCTGTGGCTGTCACAGCTCTGTGATCACAGCGATTTTTTACCGCTGTGATCACAGGGCTGGGACCACCAAATCTGCTGTTGAGGGCCTGCCTCTGACCCCAAGGGAACCAGCAACAGCAGTAACTCAATAAGCGCTGGACCCTCCATGGACCAACGCTCATAGTACCGCACGACGGGATTATCCGGTCGTTAATCAACTGAGCGAGCATGACATGACATCCCCTCATCGGTCAGTAAGGGGCTAAACAGCATCTTGGAGCCAGCTATACTGGCTGCTGTAAACCTAACAGGGGGCAACTCATACATTTAAAATACCATATAGTATAAATGGTGTCCCTGGTTAGTATGCCTGAGTAATGGGAATCACTTTTTTCTTCCTTTTTTAAAAAGCTGTAAAAAAAACTAAAAAGGCTTCAGTGCAGGTACTGAAATAACAATATCAGTACTGGACAGCTCAGAAAAATACTGCAGTTTATTATTATGTTTATGCAGGTATCCCATTTTAAATGAATGGTCAACTTGGATTTTATTATTATTATTATTATCATCACATACAATTTTCTTGTAGTATCACATGCATTTTTAAAAAATATTTGATAAATGAAATGCTAAGTAGCATATGAAGTGGAATGATAATTGCAGCGGTACTACTAATTTACCAATCTTTAGTGTGTTCATTGTATTTTTTATTTTATACAGTTCACCAGATATTATAATTGATTGTACCAACTACTTTCACATAAACACACACTAACAATATGTAGAAAGAGCCTGGAAATAAAACCAAGTGACCAGTGCTGCCACAGGCTAATTAGTCTGTGACCGAATATTATAGAGCAAGACTCCGGTGTTAAATTTTCCTTTTGTTTTACACCTATTATTTTTGCGGTATCTATTTAATTTTTTTCACAGTTGTTCCAACAAATCATTTACATAAATAATAAGAATAAATAACATTACATACATAACACAAATATTAAAAAACACTAGCTTGCCAGTATGTTATGAGTCCAAATCTTTTTGCCTTTGCTTGATAAAATGTGGACACATTTGCTGCTAATGTAAATTAATTATGACTCTAAATATACCAATAATATTCTTCACATGGATGGCTGTTTTTTAAAAGTTGACGGAACTAAAACATTTTGCTATTTACTTTGCTAAAGGCACTAATTTAACACCTTAACTTTAAAATAAAAGCAGATTTTTCCCAAGCCGATGGGAATACATGGAATTTTAATGTACTTACCCATTCAGAATAGAGCTTTGTTTCTACTCTTGGCACAAGACTTACTGCTTTAATCATCACATCATACACATTGAGCAACACAGTTTCATAATCACTAAAGTCAGGTTCAAATTTAATTGAAACATTGTCTAAAATGAGCCTCATTATAAAACCTGGATGTTCATAGGCACGAATTGAATCCTGGGAAAGGACAACGAAAAACAACATTGTAAGCTCATTTCAAATATGTTTTGGCTGTGCCAATAAGTCAAACATTTTGTATTTTTTTCTGTGAAGCACAGAAACATTTTATTGAATTAATTTGCTTGAATCTACGTCATGCCATGTGTCTGTGGTCATATATACTATAAATCATTTGCTCATTTGCTTCAGGACACAGGTGGGCACCTACATAGAAAACAATTACTATATACTCATGCACATAGGTCATTTTAGATGATTGATTTATCAATAAATATTAACAGGCAAAAGAAGTATAGGGAAATGATGCAATGTCATATTTGCTAGAACTGTACTAGGCTTGCTAAGTGTATGGATACATCATAATGTACTTCACAATCCATTATCAGGGGTTAACACAGATATGAACTTAATTGTTAGGGCAGTGAAAAGTACAATGATTATGTGAAATAATTAACTTACTTGCAGATGGTGAGGCTGATTTACTAAATGAGTTGATAATCTTCACACAATAAATTGTGTGACTAATCACTTAAATTATCCAATCTTGTGAGAAGAACATTCCTGTTTGCTTTGGATACCCTATCATGTGCAGATGAAATAAGTAAACAGGAATCTGAATTTCAAATGATTGAATAATTATAGTGAATATTCACAAAATTAATTGTGTGATTCTCAGCTACTTTAGTAAATCTGCCCTTTTGCTTCAGCTTTCTGCTAAACCTCTGTGTAGCAGTAATGGTCGCCCTCATGCTGCCCCCACCTATTATTTAAGAACATTTTAAGGTGATTACACTCCCCTCTTTCTATAGAGATTGTGCCTGGAGCAGAAGTTCTTTGTCTGGAGGGGGAAAGTGGAAAACCTCTTTATTTGTCCTTTTGATGCTGATTAACAAGGGTGTCCTGCGCAGAACCTCCACTGACCAGCTGAGGTTACTACAGCTCAGATCTGCTTGGATTCACCAGCCACCATAAGAAACCCCTTGCTTTGATGGATTTGTGAGGCTTGACTTTGATTGATTGACAAAATTCACACTAAGAACCAAAAGGTTTTCAAACCAGGTCAAAGAAAACCAAGCAATGTTACTGAGCACTCAGGACTGCTTGGCAATGTTGGTAAACAGCTGTTGGGTGGGAAGAAAATCAGTATTTTTTTTTTACTATCTGAAAGCAGAAAACCTCATTAATACAATTTATAAGATAATGTGTTAAATAAAGTGTGTCATCATTCTACTCACTGGTGGCTGTATTATCAAATCAGTATAATCCTGCATAGATGCTAAAGCAAGACTTTGCAGCTGCTCCGTCATTAATGTAGCAGCACAATTGAAAAATGATTTCAGTCTCTTGCTGTTACAGGGAATTTGCTTTTTCTTGTTTCCTTGGTAATAGATGTTTTGAATTTCTGCAAACCATCTGCAAAACAATACATTTAATATTAATACATTCCATTAAGAATACGGAAAACAGAGGCCCACGCTGCAAACGTCATTAGTGTTCACATCTTAATGAATCGCCACCTTGTTAAAAGATCAAAGGACAACCTCAGGGATGCAGTTTACACCCAGCTACAATGAAAGCTTAGTTGACTTCACTTCATTAAAGAATTGCAAATGAATGGCTATACTAGTCAGCTATCATTTGAGCTCACCAAAATGCTTTACAACAGATTTATCAAATTAAGTAATATGCTTGGAAGGGTTCATATGATGGACTGAAAAGTTGAAAAGTTTAGTTCAGTGGGGGGGGGGCGGGGGGATTTACTAAAGCTGTAGCAGACAGAATCTGGAGAAATTGGGCGTAGTAACCAATCGGCTTCTATCTTCAGCTTGTTCCGTTAAGCGTTGAAAAATAAAGACAGATGCTGATTGGTTATTTCACAGCATAGGTTTCCTGATGATGACAACAGTGGATTATGTCTGCATGGAATTAGCAAAATGAATGTGCACTTAGATTAGTGAATGAGATGAAGCTGTGGTCACTTCACTCATATGATAACATGCTAGAAAAACTCCTGTTTTTCTTAATTTTCCTTCTTGTCACCCCCACACCAGAAAGTTTTTGAACAAGGACCTTGATGGCAAGGTCAAAATAAAATCACACCACGCTAATTGTCCCATGTGAAACTATATAGTTCTGTATCAAGTGTGCAACTCTAGCAAATACTATCCAATGTGAAATCAATCAATCAATCAATCTTTCAGCTATAGACTTAAACGTGATTTATTTCACATTAGAAGGTATTGGCTAGAGTTGTGAACTTGACACAGAAGTATATGTCCTTAATGGAACAATTAGAGCAGTATGATTTGTTATTAGTAGAATGGCTTGCTTTGCTGTGCGTGCCTGTGTGTTTGTAGAGACACACAGCTTACTAGCACACACAAGGGTGGCTTCATAGGACCCTCCAAGGCATGGGAGCCACCCTAAAACAGGATATCAGGGCCAGTGCTCAGGGGACCAGCTGATTCTGCAGGAAACTAAGGAGGTTATTCACAAAGCTGTCAAAGGCAGCCGAGTGAATAACCCAGCCGAAGTGATATGAGCCGAACGCAGTTCGGCTATTCACTTCAGCCGTACATCAGCTAAAATCAGCTGCACATCGACTGCCTTTGGTCAGCCAAACATTATTTATTTATTCATTTGCTTTTGATTTTTTTTACTTCCTGTTGCATCTCCGGGACAGGAAGTGAAAAAAAATCTCTAAAAAGTGAATAGAATTCCCCTCTTAGAGAGTTGTCACAGGAACATGTATCCCCAATGTAGAAATCACTTTCTGTCTCAAGAGACAATGGGAACCAGAACAAATAAAGAGGGTGAATCAATCTAGCAGGAGCATAAACAGCAATAAAACCCCCACAATGGTTCTAATCCTTCCCTACTTTATCCTAAAACTAAAAAAAGAAAGTTTGGCTATTCATTCACTTTAATAGCTTTTGATTTAACCAATACCATGTTTTGCTTCCTCACTTACTTTTTGAGCAGTATGTCTTTGGCAGCATCAATGTTTCTCATTACAAGGTTTTGGAAAATTGAAAGCTCCATTGACTCCTGTCGACTGTGGAATTCATCCGTATCAATTAATCGCAATTGCCTTAGGAAACAAATTAACACAGAAACTTTAAAAGCTGATTATGTGTTAGTATAGTCAAAGTAACCATACACTGTAATAATATAGTATAGAGTAATATTTTCTTGTTTCTGCTTGCAGGATATCATCTCCTGGTAGTAAGTGCCTACTGTCAAAGACATTTATACAAATGGATTATAGCATGCCTTGAGATAGGGGCCACTTGTATAAAACATAATCATAAGCGCATTGATATCAGGTTCACAGGTTCTAGGTTCCCGAACCTTAGCCTGTGAGAGTTGGAATGCTTAATATTCCTGACACTTTAGGGTTTATTTAAAAAAGGCAAATAGGCTGTTCACTTTAGAAAATAAATTGCAATTTGCAGGGGAAGTTTCCCCTTAGTGAATGAGGTGAAATGTAACTTTGCATAGAATATCCAGTCACGTGCAAGTAAAATAATACAAAAATATGTTTGCCTGCACATGACTGGAGTCATCAGCAGAGCTTCTCCTCATTTACTAAGATAAGGGGGAAGCGTCCCCTGCAAAGTGCAAATTCCCTTGCAAAGGAGCCTATTTACCATTAGTAAATCAACTCCTTGATTTCAAGATATTTTAGATAATATATGCCTACAAGTCTAACTTCACATGTCCTGTGCAGAAACATTTAAATTTTCTGATATAAACAATGTTGATGACTTTGGCTTCAATGCTTGACAAAAAGCACAAAATTCCGACACTTTTCAAACACCTATTCACAACATGCTTGTTTTGAATGTGTGACCATGAAGTATTAAAGCCAGACATAGTTAGGAAACTAGAAGTTTCAGAAATAGCACCCACTTTTCTCTTATCTCCTAACCCTACTGGTGTACCTACAGTACTGGAGTGTTGGCATTTCTGTAACTGTTTCCTGCATTTACATGCTTTCCAATACAGCAAAGCAGTTTTGCTTTGAATGCTATTTAAGTGTTTATAACTTAATGAAACAGCACACTTGCAGCTGTGGGCAAGTGACTCCATGCTAACTTAGGCTGCATTTACATGAGGCATTTATATGTGTGTGTGTGAGTGTGTGGTAACAACCTACAGAGTCTTGTGTCAGGAAATCCCAGGTGTTCCCGTTCAGATGCGCCCGCTGTGCCTATTCAGGCTGACAGTGGCCGCACCTGTCAGTGGCAGTCCACATGTAATCATACAGGGTAGAATTACCTGCAGTTCGGAATAGTTGTTTGTCCCTGGACGCATGTATCCTACATCCAGGGACAAAAAAACTCTATTTCAAACCATTACATGCAGTCTGCCGATGACAGATGTGCCCGCTGTCACCCTGTCACTAATTTCAGAGGGCACAACGGTTGCATTTGAATGGGCACCCCTGGGATTTCTACGGCAAGAATCCGTAGGTCCCTGAATGCACATAAATGCCCTGTGTGACTGCAGCCTAAGACTGTCATTCACTATTTTCTCTATATGTCGAGGATGTGCAGTGTAAAAACACATGATAATTAAGCCCAGTGCATGACCCTGGATGCCATCCAGGGTGGGGAAGCTGAACACAGAATTGTAGTCCTTAACCATATATATATATACACCCATGGAAATGTTCTGTTTAGTGCCTACTACTACCTGTGTTAGACAGCAAATCCCCTTCTATGTGCCCCCTTGGTCTTGGCTGCTAGTGGCTGACGGGTTTGCTTTAAAGGATTACCTCACGTGCAAACGGATCCATGCTAATATTTAACCCTCATAACTACTAAACTTCTCTTTTAACTAAACAAAAATGCATTTTGTAAGATACATGTACATGTAATACAATGAATTTCACATGTTGCTTAGGGCAGCACATCTTAGAAACATAAAGCTGTACTTACCCAAATGATGAATGCCATAAATTTAAAACAGCTGCCATTGTTGGGTTAACAGCATTCAGATTCTCCTTTATGAAGTTGTAATTGGCCAAAAATGACTTTTTCCATGGTTTTGGCACTACTTCCAATCTAAGATTAAGAAAAGAGAAACACTTAATGCAATAACACGTTACTTCCCATCTTTTACTACTAACATATATATGATGAAATGTCCTTATAACTTTAATCTACGTGTTTGCAAATGTAACCTCTTCTGTTAATTATACTGTGATGCATGAAAAATACACTGATGCTGAAAGTGAATGTTCAAAGCTTCACCAAATTCCATGCCAGGCTCTTATCCAAGCATGCATGGTAGGCTTTGAGGGTGAGGGGGGACTTATCTCAATCTGAAAGCCCTGTTCAGAATAAGGGGGTCCCCAGATATGCGACCCGTTATCCTGCGTGAATGTGTGAGGGGTACAACAAACACCCTTGTTAATCAGTCACAAAAAAAAGTGGAAAATGTAAATATACACAAATAAACTGTGATAAGTATTTATTAAAAAAATGTCCCATGGTGTAAAGACAACATCAATCACGTAGCCCAGCAATGTGGATCCAGGTTCAAGCACTTTGAACGACAACCCAACACGATGACCCATGCAAGATGATTCTGCTTCTTCTGAATCTGCATCTTCGTAGCAACTGACAGCCTCCCGGCCAGCAGCTGAATGTGTGCGAGCTCTATACCCCTGCTATAGCCCATTAAAATGGTCTGCTGTTTAAATCCAAAGCAGAAGAGGGCAGAGGGGAGGGCTTATTTACTAAGCTCAGTGCACATTCATATTGCTAGTGAAGTAAAAAATCTCTACTCCTTTAGTAAAGTAGGTTTCTACTCTGGGTCTGTCATTCTGATCCTGCCTCTACTATTTTGTGTGTCACTTACCAGGAACAATCATGAGGTCATTAAAGTGCAAAAAAACTCTTAACTCCTGTCCTATGTGTGTGTTCCTTGGCAGTAATCTAACAAGCAATAAAGCCCGGAATAAGAAAATGACTCTATGGCATACACCCTCAAAAAAGTCAGAAATAGTAGTTCCCGCATCTCGGTCTCACAAACTCCAGTGTTCTGTATTTTGTGTCACTATGCTCTGTGCTAATATTCAATCACAAAGTTTTTTTTCACTCTCATATGCATAGGTAATAACATCCATCAAAGTTTTTAGGTACCTTTACTAGTCTAGGTCTAAAGTCAGATTCCCATTGGGTTAAAGGAGTTCATGAGTAACAGAACTAGATAATTAAAAAGAGAACTAAAGCCAAAACTAGAGAGAACTAAAGCTAAAAAAGTCTGACTTTAGCTCTCTTTTAAATGTATAGGAAGCATAGTACCTGGTAATAGAAAGTTATATAAACAGCACCATCACCTAAGGGAACATCTGTCCAAGAAAAGAAAAAAGACATAAACGTTTTCTTTTCACATTTTGCTCCCAGCTGTCTATTCTGAACACAAGTGACAAACATTAAATGCTGACAGCAGTGCAATATCATTTTATTCAAAATCATTTTCTAAACCATGTGTTCATATGGGACCATAAATAAACAATGTATGCACCATTAATGCATGTTTTTGGTATTTAACATAATGAATTACACAAAATCTTTAAAGTAAATATTGCCCAGGGGCAGACACACCATTCTCTCAGCATAAAGACAATTTGGGGTCGATTCACTAAATAACTAGAGGCTATTCAGTTACCAAATTAAATGATGACTGAGCTTAGTAAATAAAGTAAAGCTGTATTCACAGCAATCAACTAATCATGTGGTAGCAAAGTACTGTTTTTGTTATTTACCTTGCCCATGATTGGGTATTTAGTAGAAGTTTACCCTATTAACTAGCATTCATTTCAAAACAAGAACATACAAGTGAATAACATTCACTATATTTATTTCCAGATAATTTTTTGTACAAGTCATTCGGAATTCAGAAAGCTGGTTGGATGACCAGTGAAATGTCTTCAAGAAAAATACAGCAAGTGCAGTTGCCTTGACTTATTTTGTACAGATATACAAGTGAATAACCTTTACACTTTTCACTCCTTACTGTCCCTTAACCTTCTCTTCCCCGCACTTTTGCACAACGAACAGCATGCAAAATCAGGATCCAAAGAATTTCACTATGTAACTGCTTTATTAAAAAGGTACCCAATGCTATGTCTGTGTCATGCTGTTTATTACCTGTAATACCTGTCCTTTTCCTTGTTGGAAAAAGTTGAAAATCTTGAAATAAAGAATTTATAAAAAAAAAAGGTACCCAATGGCTAACTTGGAGGCAACAATTGAAATTCAACTCCACTGTTATGTCTTTGTCCAGGTCATTAGTAACCTAAGGGGGTTGTGAATGTCATATATTTCTTCCCTGCTATCTACAGCAATCCTCATTCTATGTCCACATTAATGCCTCTGATAAGATCACTAACTGAACCTTGGAGATAACAAACAATAAGTAAAGAAAATTCTAGTATGATGAGACCAAGTGGATTTTCTGCCTCCACTGGTGTGTTAATGCTGATTGATGTAGCCCTGTTCAGAGCCCAGCTGATCAACTCTTTTGTTGCTTATAAAAAAGGCATCTATGAGACTGTTAGAACATTTAGAAACACAGCTTCAGCCTGGAAAACTCATTTATTTCAAAGGCTTTTCAAGGCCTACGCAGCATTATGCTGTTTAACTTGTAAAATGGCATCGACTACAATGAAGGTAAAGAATACAGAATGACTTACTCTGCACGATGCGTCTCTAGAATAACTTGCTTGTCCTCATGCTTCTCTCGTGGGTCTTTTAATACAAAATCAACTACAAAAGAAAATGTTTTTAAGAGTCGAAACACTATGACCATAAAATGGGGTAGCCATATACATTACATTAAATACTAATATGAAGAACACTCTAGCAATATAAATATTTTAAAGGAAACCTGTGTTGAGAGGTATATTGAGTTAACCACTGCTCATCTGCTGAAAACACAATTTTCTTGGCGGTCATGTACAAAAACAGTAGATATATCAGGAGTTCTGATATGCTGACCATACTTGCTGTACAGCGAAATATGTATTAATTCTGTCGCACAGCAAGGTAATGCTAAACTGGAACAGTGAGACAAATATGAGACTGATTTAGTACAATTAGGCAACATAATTTAGATATTCCTCCTTCTGCTGCTTTTAAGTAGCACTGTGACAATAAACCTGAGTATGTGCTGCTCTTCTGAGTCAAAACAGGTTGAAAATCAAAGCAGCTATCCACTTAAACCTACCAACAATGTATTTTTAGCTCTTTTAGAATTACAATGAATGGAACTTGTAGATATCGCAGCAAACATTATGAATGATTAAAATCTTATGATATGTAAACAGGTACATAGGAAAGCAATCCAGGAAACTTTAAAGTAGTATTAAACTCTCAAGCTTTTTTCAATAATGAATCCAGGTAAAACAAATATACATTGCCCAGGAAAGTATTTTTTTAAGTTTTAGCCCAAGCACTTACAGTCATCATGTTTCTGAACAGCTCCAACTCTCTCAGCTCAGCATCCCTGGACATCCTGTCCAGTATAAGTTCACAAGGGACAGAGCAATCTACAGCATCTATCCATCTACTAGCATGGAGAAGGGAGAGGGAAGGATCGGGGAGCAGGGGGGGGGGGGGGTTCTTGCCTTGCTGTGTCTGTGTGTTTGTGGAGACACACACAGCTTACTAGTACATACAAGGGTGGCTCCATTGTACCCTGCAAGGACCACCCTAAAAATGGATATCAGGGGACCAGCTCATTCTGCAGGAAACTAAAAATATTGAACGTCAAGGATCAGCATCCATTGTAAGTGATTTAATCAGCATTTGAAATAGCTTAAAATCCTTTTGACTTTAATATCGCTTTAAGGGGGGGGGGAAACTGCACCCAAAACGGATATGCAATTTTTTGAATATTGCAGTGCACAATGTTATTTCTGCCAGGATTGCAATGCTGTCCATGAACTGTCTATGTAACCGATCATTTCTCATGCCAGAGCTGTCAATGCATCCCTTTAACTACTGGTATAGGTACTTTAGGTCCTTAGGAAAAAGAAAGTTCCATTGACCTTCTGATCAAATCAAGACGAGATCTAGATAAGAAAGCTCTGTAATAAAAGAAAATAAAGGCCAGTCTAGGTAGTCTGCAGCCTAGGAAAACAAGTAGATGTATAGATCAATTTGTCAGAAGGCATTATGCTGATTAAGCATATTTTTGTTATAGCATAGTTATTTTCTACCATTTTGCTTCTCTAGACAGGTTTTTTTATTTAAAAAACATAAGCTAGGATATAAAAAAAAATAGCAAATGCATAAAAGCGCTGAAGGCTAAGTAAAAAACAATGTGCTACTGGAAAATGCTTGGACAGCATTTTGTGACGCATTGAAGCTCTCTGTTACGATGTTTCAATGAGAAAAAGATGAGAGAAATTTTGTGTACAATGGTTACCTGAGGGATCTCAGAGGCCTAATAACACAAACAATGATAACTGAGGCTAAATGACAGAGAGTATACACTACAACGTAACTGGGACTCGTGAATATATGAGAAACTTTCACAAACGTATATACAGTATCTCACAGAAGTGAGTACAGCCCTCACATTTTTGTAAATATTTTATTATATAATTTCATGTGACGACACAGAAGAAATGACACTTTGCTACAATGTAAAGTAGTGAGTGTACAGCTTGTATATCAGTGTACATTTGCTGTCCCCGCAAAATTACTCAACACACAGCCATTAATGTCTAAACCGCTGGCAACAAACGTGAGTACACCCCTAAGCGAAAATGTCCGAATTGGGCCCAATTAGTCATTTTCCCTGCCCGGTGTCATGTGAGTTGTTAGTGTTACAAGGTCTCAGGTGTGAATGGGGAGCAGGTGTGTTAAATTCGGTGTTATCGCTCTCACTCTCTCATACTGGTCACTGGAAGTTCAACATGGCACCCCATGGCAAAGAACCCTCTGAGGATCTGAAAAAAAAAATTGTTGCTCTACATAAAGATGACCGAGGCTATAAGAAGATTGCCAAGACCCTGAAAATTGAGCTGCAGCACGGTGGCCAAGACCATACAGCGGTTTAACAGGACAGGTTACACTTAGAACAGGCCTCGCCATAGTCAACCAAAGAAGTTCAGTGTACGTGTTTAGCGTCATATCCAGAGGTTGTCTTTGGGAAATAGACGTGTGAGTGCTGCCAGCATTTTTGCAGAGGTTGAAGGGGTGGGGGGTCAGCCTGTCAGTGCTCAGACCATACGCCGCACACTGCACCAAATTGGTCTGCATCAAAGCAGACTAAGGACATGGATTACTGGAACCATGTTCTGTGGTCTGATGAGACCAAGATAAACTTATTTGGTTCAGATGGTGTCAAGCTTATGTGGAACTCCCATGCACATGCCGCAAGACAAAGAGCTTTTCGCAAAAACGTTTGTTACATTTGTCCATGAAATTGTTAAACAGGTTGATCTTAGACAAATATGAGACAACACATTGCTTTTTGAAAATACATTTCTAAGCAGTTTCAAAGGGTAATTTTTATGACCTCATCAAAATCCCATCTTCTAGCTGAAACATTCAGAACCTAATGAGTAGGGATAGACTCAAATTCAAATCAAACTTGGTCCAAACCTGAGCTCCTCCGAACCCGTAAACTATGCGGGGCCATGATTCCTTATTTGGCCAAATGATGTTACTGAATCTTGCTCCTTTGCTTATGTGCAGTTGTTGGTGGTAAATTCCCTGGCCACAGGTGATTTGATAGCAGCGGAAGGAGCTTCCTTACATGGTACCTTGGTAGAGCTCCTACCTTGTTCAGAGGAGCTCAAATCTAAACCTGAGCTCATCTCTACTACTCTGATTTTATTCGTTACGCTAATCCTTTACTGACAAACTCCAGCAACAAACAGATGTTTTATGTTATAATATGTAATTATGTAAAAGCGCTGATAAGCTCGTTTTAGCTAGAGAAGCACAAAGAGACATCTAGAGTATTTCTTAGGAAATATGCTTGCTTGATAGTAGTATTTAGCATGGATTCTGGATTGAATAGTGGGAGGTTCTTGAAAGGTAATTAAGGGCCTAGTTATAAAACATGATTTAGCCCTACCACAATCATATCACTGCTTTAAACACACACACACACACACCCTGGAAATCTGTAAAGCACAGCAATGTGTTTTACAAATGTACTTACCTATCTGCTTGATTTAGTACTTCAAAGCAAGTGGAGCGCTATTAAAATAAATGTGTTAAGAATAAAGAACTCCATCGCACACGGCATGCGCCACAACGTGGCCTGCATTTTATGAATAGCCACTGATTTGCAGTGTCCATCAGGGAGCAGTATCTGCTATTAATAAGGCCTTAATTCTCAATAAATAATGCATACTGATTAGCTGGTGGGGAGGCTCTTACCCAGGATAAAAGCCTATAGGACCTGTTGATATGACATCTAATCTCCTGCAGAGCCAAGACACAGGTCACAAGATTCTTTGCTGCTTGATCTGGAGGAGTGAACACCTGCCTCTGCATAGACTTTTGGTGACAATAGGCTATGTGCAAAAATGTCAATGTTTGTTTAATGTGAATGTCGAATGGTCATTTCAGTGTAAGAATTTGTCATTCAGTATTGTTTATTTTCATATTCTACTTCATGCAGAAATGAATTATATGCATAGTCTCCCATTTTAGTAGAGTTGCATTATATGACTGTATTGCAGTAGCTATTATGCATACACATTAACTTTTTAATAAAAAATATTTGTAATAATTGACTTTGTCAATTACTTGGCAATTACTGCAGTAAACTAGTTTAAATGGTACTCAGACCATTACAGTTGGAGGCCTCCTTGGCAGTTACTGAATAATTGCAGTCATCCTTTTGCTAGACAGGAGACTTCAAACTGGTTTCATGTTACTGGGAAAATCTACTTAAAGTAGAACTATAAGGTAAGTGCTTTTCACTCACCTCATAGTTCTAGCCGACCTGTGACAATGAGACTGTCACAGGTCGGCTTAGTAAATCGGGAGGTGAGCGAACACATACCGGCATTGCTCACCTCTCGATCCTGTCACGGCTCTATGCCGTGACAGGGGAGGGGCTGGATTCCCCCCTCCCTGCTCCGATCCGCCAGCGCTGACTGGCGGAACGGACGGGGGAGGGGGTGGGTACAGCTGGCTCTGCCTCTAGATAGGCAGAGCCAGCTGTCAGTCACGCAGCTGGGCGGATCCAGACATAATTGTCGGGATCCGCTTCAGCTGCGGCATCTCAGTATACCGCGAGAACCAGCTCGCGGTATACTGCGGCGTCTCAGTATACCGCGAGCTACAGCCTAGGGTGACGGGAGGACACTAGTTTGTGTCCTCCCGTTACCCTAAGGAGAACTATGGGGAAAAGCCTTAACCCCATAGTTCTCCTTTAACCAACTTTACGTTTACTGAGCTTGATTGTTTACCTGTTATTATCTGTTCAAGAGATTTCATGCGTGCATGAAAATATATAGTAACTGGTTCCAATACAAACTGCCTATACTTGCACAAGTAAGGCAGCATGACAGTTTTCTGTAGCATGTTAACGATCAAATGTAGCAGTTAATATGAATATAGAATGTCCCATATTGTTTGGAAGAAAATTAGAAGTGGTCGTACAACAGTCTGATACTAGTTCTGATTTAGTTCTCATACACCCACATCCAGCCCTTCATATCCTATGATACAGAAAATATTGAAGACTGTGGACCAGCATAACACATGAACAGCTAGTAAGGGACATGAACAGCTAGCTAGTTCAGCAATGGCAGTCTAGAAAGTTTTTCAGTGCAGGTTTATTTTATTACCATTCAATACTGTAAGTAGACAAATGTTACTTAATAAGTTGAACCCCCTTCCCATCCAGGCCATTTTTCAGTATTCAGCGCTGTGGTACTTTGACTGACATTTCTCTGGCTATAGCAGCCAGATGACTGACAGGTGAATGCGGAAGTGATGTAACACACATCACTTCTGCATTCACAGCCCGGAGGGAGATCAGCAAGGAGCTGATCTCCCGTCCTCTTCCTCCTGACGCCCTCCGAGCCGGTCCCGGGCCGTAGATGGGGCAGCGGATCCCGGGATTGAAGGTGAGGGGTCAGGGGCAAAAAAACGGCGGCGGCCGCGCGAGGGGGGCGAAAGAACGAGCACATGTAGACGATCGGCGGGCTATGGAGCCGCCGATCGTCTATATGTGAAACACCCGGTAACGGGTGTTTGCATTGGTTGGGTCTTTTCTGCCCGTGCGTGCCCACTAGGGGGCGCGCGCGAGCAGAAAAAAAATGCTGTCTGGAAACGGCAACCCGCCAATGCTGCAGTGCCATCCGTCCGTTTTTTTACAACGGGCGGACGGCAAGTGGTTAAACCCTCGTGTTTTTTTGCATATATCTACTGCTAGCAAGCAGTAGATATATGCAAAACCTTTTTTTTTAAACCTTTTGAAACAGGTTTAAACTTACCTGTGTCTTCGCCCCCCGCGTGCTCCCGTGCGAACATCTGAAGAGTCTCGGGCGGCCACAAAGGATCTTGGGGTGGGCGCATGCGCAGTTCAGATGTTTGGCCAAGAGACGATGGGGGGGGGGGGGGAATAGCCTTTAATATCACTTTAAATATGTGACAGTGGAAAATGTCCCCACAAAATGACTGAAAATAAAACAAAAACTTACCAATGGCTTTTTTAACACTGAATAGATAATCCTCTTTCATTTCATCTGAAAGCAGGTCAATGCTGTCCGTGTAAACCTTTAAATGTTTTGGTACCAGGCTTAGGACATGTTCAAGCCAAGATTCTTCCATGGGTGCTACATGCTCTGTGTCAATGCCATGGCTAATGTAGTAATTGTATCTCTAAGAATCCAAAGACAAATTGTAAAAAATTGCTAAATTAAGTTATCACCACACACTTGAAACCAGGTCTGCATTAGAAGCTGCCTGAAGGATACCCTAATATGTCTCAAGTCCTAGAGGGTTCCATAATAAGTTACAAAGTCCAAAGTTTCTCTAACAAGTCTCAAGGCCTGGAGGCTGCCCTAATAACTCCTGAAGGTTCTTTAATATATACCAAGGCCCAGAGGTTGCACTAAAAGGTTTCAATTCCCAGAGGCTTCTTTAATAATGACCAATGCCCTAATAGGTCACATACCAATGCCCACAGGGCCGGATTTACTCTCCCTGCCGCCCCAAGGCCAGGTTCCACAATACGGCCCCCGCCCCCTTTTTTATAGTTTTTATCTTATTATTGTTTATTTTTTATAATTATTTTCTTATTTTGGTTAGAACTCCCCACTTAAACCACTCTCTCCAAAACTAAAAAGAAAAGTTTGAACTATACATACACCTTAATCGACTGCCCTACTTGCTCTGCTCCTGACTTGATAGCCTTCTAACTTCTATTTTAAACACAGAGAAATAGCTCTTGGAAGGGGAGCAGTGTGAGCAAAGCTGCTGAGAAAGCCAACTTCAATGACTTGAGTGGGTCTACTGTGAATTTTGAGCATGAATTGATCCACATTGCATGCTGCTACAGAGGCCAGTAAAGGCTTGTTTTAAAGCTCATTTACTGCTTGTAAGAAAATTCTAATATGTCAGTGTCCATAGCCTGGTCACAGTTACAGTTTGAGGCAGTTTTTTCCCATTTACATTGTGCATTTTTTAAGTTTATAGGGGGAGGAGGAATTTACTATAAACACATCCTCAGAACAGCAGCATGTCAAAATCGTAATAACATTGCGAAAATCCTTCCAATCTACATAACTGACCTGGAGAGAAGATTTGTTTGTTTGTTTGTTTGTTTGTTTTTTTACAAAAGTGCAGCTTTTGTTTAAATTAAACACTAACTTTGCATAATTTATTACAGAAATGTAAAAAATAAACCTTATATTATTTTAGGCTTGCACCTTCATTTTAGTTACTGTTTTAATATCATCTGTATATCATATGTGTGTTACATAAAAAAAATATATTTCTTTATCAGTAGAAGTAGCTGTGCGGTAAATATATTGGACAGGCTGCTTTTGTTTGCCAGTGGTTAATCATGGCTGCATTTAGAGGTCATATGTGAATGCAGGCACTCTTTTATGCCACCCATTTGCCACTAGGAGGCTGTGGAGGAAGACTTGTTGCCTGGACTACTGGGAGGCTTGTGACTCTTCTTAGTAGTCTTTTAAAAAATTTCCCCTCAGCTCTGCCTTCCATTTTATTCCCAACAGCGTTATTTACAAAAGGGTGAAGAGTTTGGAGAAGGCAGGAGAAGTGAACAATCTAGGACAAAATAGCTGATGTAGAAAAATTCTCCAATTCAGCTCAGTTTCCAGTTCAGCTACAGTATGTTGTCCTAGATTGTTCACTTCTCCTGCCTTCTCCAAACTCTTCACCCTTTTGTGAATAACCCTGTAGATGTCCATCTTTTGACAGAAAAGGCTCAAATAAGTGAAAAAGTTCATGCAAACTGAAAATGTTGGGTGTTGTGTTGTGTTCTTAGTATGTTGTCCTGGTAATCAGATTTACTAACAGCCCTGTACACCTCAGTGAGACACATACACTTACCAAAATGTCTTTATCCAAAGTTGATGTTCCAGCAGAAGCAGTTTGATCCACCTGAAATTCTGGAAAAGCAGATGCATCTTTTTTCCTGATAAAAATATATATGTAACCCCTTAGATTATTATGACTAGTAAAAAGAAGTATATTTTAAATAGCATGTTCTCATTCAGTAAGATAGATAGTAAAACAGCCCTGTTTATTGCTTAAATGCAGACCGTGGCAGTGCAATCTGTGTTTTTTATCCTACCACAGGGCCATTTGCCAGTATTGCCTATAGGCGCTCTGCAGCTGATCATTAATGACTTGCCATGTCTTGTTCTGCTCAGTGTCTCTTTGTGGAGGCAGGCTTCTTGGTAGAGGAGCAGGACTTTGCTTCTTCATGCTAGAGCTGGCTCCTAATGACTGGCAATCTGATGCTGAGGTCAGATTACTGGTGGGGTAATATTCAAGAAATGGCAGGAGGGGTATAAAAAGCATAGATCCTCAGAATGGATAAAGTAGCATCAGGGAGGACCTTGCAACGCAGCTTTCTCATCAGCGAGAACAAGGGGGTAGCATAGTATACTAACATCACTAATCCTATTTCTTTCAGGGTACTGCTTAGGAGGAATCAACAGATCTAGATGTTTCCTATAAGACAGCAAATCTTCACTTTATTTTACTTTAGGTCCACTTTAACTCATGTATGCCAAAAGCCCAGCACACAGCGTCCTTCACCAGGAACTCTCTTACTTCTTTTCATTTATTAAAATATAAGATTAAGGGGTCTAGTCACAAAGCTGCCGAGGGCAGCCGAGTGAATGACCGATCAGAAGTGAAGTGAGCCGAACACTTGGGGGGGGGGGGCACATCATGACCCGCCTCCCGGCTTCCTGATTGGCTAGGAAATCGGCTTCACTTGTTGCTAGGCAGCCTGGCTTCCTGACCAATCAGAAAGCTGGGTGGCACGTCATGACCCGCTGCCCAGCTTCCTGATTGGTCAGAAAGACAGGCTGCCTAGCAACAAGTGAAGCCGGCTTCCTAGCCAATCAGGAAGCCGAGAGGCGCGTCATGACGTGCCGCCCGGCTTCCTGATCGGTCAGGAAGCCAGGCTGCTAGCAACAAGTGAAGCTAGTTTCCTAGTTAATCAGGAAGCAGGGAGGTGGGTCATGACGTGCTGCCCGGCTTCCTGATTGGTCAGGAAGCCAGGCTGCCTAGGAACGTAAAGCCGGTGTTCTTTTTATAGAACACCAGCTTCCTGATAACCCGGGCCAATGGTACCCCGTCATGCCAGTATAGGTATTCAGTATCGGCGAGTACCGAAAAAAATATCAGTACTCGTACTCGATGCCGAAAAACTGATATCGGTGCATCCCTACAAATTGCCTTGGGGTTTTACAGACTAAAAATGCAGATCTAGTCATAGGCTGACAACCTGAAGACACTTCTTGGATACTGACATCACTCCCTTGACCTTCAAGCTGCAGCCAGTGAAGAGATCTGCAGCTGGACCAAAGCATTTTGTTTGTAGGTTAAGTGTGTGAATAAACAACTGCAAGCCTATTCTCCGACACTGAGAATAGACTTGCAAAGGCGTCAAGAATGTTCAGACAATAAATTGCGTGCAACTTCACTTCAATTTTCCAATCACATGTAAAGCAAATTCTTGTGTACTTCTTTAATTTAGACATGGTTGAATAACTAAAGTGAATATTCACACAATGTATTGTGTGAACATTCTCAACTCCTTTAGTAAATCAGCCTATTAAGTCTACTTTTATGGCATCTAATGCATATTGATGCTGATCTACTAAAGATGTTGAGAAAGTTCACACAATAAACATTGAACATTCTCAACTTCTTGTTGAACATTAGTGTTTGAACATTATGAACTTCTTTAGGAAATTAGCCGCTAATCGGCCTCTACAATGTAAGGTGATCAACACTTTTCCAACATATAAAGTAGCATAACAGGTAAAAAGTAAAAGAAAATTAAAAACTCACATGATGATATCAACAAGGGCACTTCTGAAATCTTCTCTGTGCTTCTTTGGGTGGGAATAACTAGTCTGTGTATGTTGTGATGGCCGGGCTGACAGATTATCATATTTTGATGGTTCATACATTGGGAAACTAGCATGCATGAGTTTGCTTCTCTTGTAATTTGGCATGGCAGATAGTCCTAGAAAAATAATTCACACAGAATTGTTATCATGACTACAATCTAAAAAATGTATAGCATAACAGTAGGGAGAGTGTTCTCCTTTAATGCAACTTTGAGGGTGACATGGAAAAAACACTATTCCTTTCAATTACATACATGGGAGTTACCTTTAAGCTGTATGGGGTGTCACAAGACCGCAAGATCCTCATTTACAGTGACAGTAACACCATATTCTGGCATCATATATTTTTGAAAACAGTGCTGAGCTGCTATTAGTCCCAGTATTTTAAAACAATGGTAGTAATCAGCAGCTCCTGTGGGTGCGGGTGGGGGTTAAGGCTGGAACATTCATAACTAACCATGGAAGCTGAGCGTGCTGTAGACTTACTGCTCCGTGAGACATACAAACAGCTGCAGGTGGGAAGTTCTGTACAAATTAATGACAAGTGACAGCTCCCACAGTAATTTGCAGCTGTTCACATATAACCGCAGATGCTGTTTTTAGCTGCTGAAGATCACCCCTGGATGCAAACAGAGGCGATCATCTGCAGGTAATCGCAGTTTTGTGCAATTACGTGTGAATGGCTGCAATGCTGTTAACTATCCAAATTTGCTACCAAATTATAGCCTTATTTGTGCCAAAAAATTATGATCAATACATTATGGTAGACTACAAAACCTAAAAAATATAGAGGCTTATTCACAAAGCTGCCGAAGGCAGCCTTGTGAATAACCGACCCGAAGTTAAGTGAGCCGAATGCTGTTCGGCTATTCACTTCAGGCTTGTATGGCTGATTTCAGCTGTACACCGACTGCAATCAGTCGTACATTGGCTTGCTTCGGCTGGGTTCGGTTTCGGCCAACCCGAAGTGCAATAGCCGAAAGCCGCTCAGCTAAAATGAATAGCCGAATGCCGCTCAGCTAAACCAGTTAAAAAAGTAGAAGAAAAAATAGAAAATGATTCTTAGTGTGTAATGACAGTTCAGCATTGGCCGGAGCCAGCCGTGAGATGATGGCTGGCTCCGGCCAGCTGTCAGTAGCAGGCTTTCAGACGGCCAATGGAAGGCCGTTCGGCACGCTTTGGATTTCACCTCGGCTGAGTCGAGCCGAAGCATATGCCTTCAGCTCAACCGAGCCGCTCGGCCAACTTCGGGAGCTGTACAGGCTATAGTGAATGCTCCTACAGCAGCCCTACGGTTCTACTGAACCAGAGGCCTCCCGTAACCAAAGCTAGCCGAAGGATCAGCCGAAGCTATGGCTGGATCCTTCGGCAGCTTTGTGAATAACCCTCATAATGTCTGGAATGGAGACATCGCCAAAGCGAAAAAACATTAAGGGGATGGGACTCAAGGGGATTTAGGTAGAAAAAGGCATGGGGACTCAATTAGTTAAGACATATAAACCAGGCATTTATTATTATGTATAGTATGTAAGCCTTTATACTGGGCCACAATTTAGAACGAGAGACCAGGCAGGTTTTATCATGAAACAAAAATTAGCATGTATTATTTCAGAGACAAAAGCCAGAAATATTTACAGGCTTAATGCAATCTTTGTCAGCAACTTTAGTTTACCTCAATTTCAGATGGAGAGCCTAGACAAGTTTTATCATGAAATACAAATTAGGGTATATTATTTCAGAGACAACAGCCAAAAATATTGTATAGACTCAAGGCACTGTATTTAAGCAGTTTTACTGGGCAAACATCTCAGAGGGAAAGTTCAGGCAGGTTTTAATGAAGAAATTAAAATAGGAGTCAACTATTTTACAGAAAAATTACAGAACAAATTGTACAGTCAATGCACACTATGCAATCCAGGTTAATTAAGCTGCACTTTAAGCGGAATAGACCAGGAAGGTTTTATTGCGGAATAAAAATTACAGTGTAATATTTCAGAGACAATAGCCAGGAATATTGTACAGACTCCATGTAATCTATGTAAGCAGCTTTAGTAGGCCACACTTTAAGAGGAAGAGAAAGTGCAAGTTTATGAAATAACAAATTAGAGTATTCTGCAATCATTTGGTGTAGGTGCTTCCTGTGTCTGCTGTCTGCAGGCAGGCCTGTGTTCTGTCGCTGTAAAAATTAAAGCGTTGCATCCAATTTCAATGCTGAAGGAGTAGTCATTAACAACCCATTCAGCTGTGACCAGGGCATTCCCCGACCCACAGCTGCATGTAAACAAAGGGGCGTGATGCTGGTGACATAATTGACTTCATATGGCCACATGACCATATTAAGCAATGTCAATGTCATTGTGAGCTGGTTAGGGGTCCAAAAGGACAACTAAAACCAGTTCACCAAGGATTGCGTAAACACCTACTAGGGCCCTTATATGCAACAGGTATGTGTTACATAAGTTTCAACTTTGCACTAGGTGTGCTTTTGTACTGCATATATATTTGTGAATGATCCCTCTTAAAGCATTCCCAATTTGGTGAAGGCATGTAGGCTGGTATCAACATGACAGTGACCCATACATTTGCTCTCCTTTTTTTATGGGGATACCAGACCCTATGCCTGGTGTATCAGGGTGGTGCTGCCTGGGAAAGGGTGCCCATAAAAAAAAGATGTACTTTAAATTGTACTCTCCATGGGGCATGTTTATAAATCAGTAAATGTGACATTCATTTAAAATTCACTGCAGAAGCTTGTGAAACGCCTATACATAATCTTTAACGTCTTGTTAAATAAAGGCATAATGAATACAAATCAGAAAACATTACTTGAAAATAATATTTTCACTTACCAGGTGAGAAGTCATGAGTCTTATTGATGTCGTGCAGTTCATTGCCTCTCTCTCCATTTAGAACAAATGAGGGCTGGATTTTCCTCCACTCAGGCTTGGAACTCACCTAAAAAAAGCACCAAAAGAAGTTGTATTGAAGTACACTTTACATCCTCACGTATGAAAGTATTCAGCTCCAACCAAAACTTGGAATACATCAGGCAGCTGAATGAAGTGCCCCAATAAAAGATTACTAATATGTATCAATGTGGATGATTTTGATAACACTAGGAAATGGCCTTTTATTGCCATTTGGTAACTTGTTTACTCCTAAAATGGCTTTTTGTTCTGAGTGTTTGCTGAACACTGAACAGTATTTCTTATTTCCTAACAACCAGTTAGTGTCTCTGTTACTGTGCATGTTCTAACCTGCCCCAATAACAGCACAGTTAGAAGCTGGCTGCATGCTAATGCTGGCCATGTTTTCTATTCTCTCATTTCAACTGCGAAGTGAACAATTGAAAATCAATAATCAATAGATTCCTCCATCCATGCTAAATAGCATAAATGGAGAAATTTCCACTGCCAGATATTGTATTCAGACAGCCGCAGCATCCACGGCTTCCTTAATCCAAGAACAGTGACTGAATCTGTTAGGATGCCACAGTTTTCTATTGCTATTCACATATATCTCACATCCAGCGGTTATCTGCAGCGGGGAACAGAGACTGGCCCTGGACATAATCTGTTTGCATCCATGGCTGATCACCTGTTTTCTAGCCACAGGTAACCGCTGGATGTGCAAATACATGTGAATAGTATTGGCTGTGGCTCCAGTCAGGCTGTCATTACTTTGTACAGGCTGTGCGGCTGCATACACTACAAATGAGGTGTTGCAAGAATCTGACAGGCATGACTCCCAAAGGCAGGTGCATGCTGGTATTTGTAGTTTCACAACAGCTGGAGGGCTGGAGTTTGCCTAACCCTGCCTTATAGTATTGGTAAAAACGCACTTCTCTGGCTCACCTCAGCATACTAATATTATTATTATACAGGATTTATATAGCGCCAACATTTTGTGCAGTGCTTTAATAGTAGATAAGCTATAGCTTACTTTGCTTACTTATAGTATAGCTAATAGATAAGATCCACCCCCCATGACCCCTTAGAACAACCCTTCACTAGAGCATACATTTCCCGTTTATGCGATTCTTTATTTCCAACCTTGGTCTGCCTCTGTGCCTCCCTTTAGTTTAGTTACATGAAATCTAGAATATTGAAAATTGTTACCAGATATTTACTATCATTTTACTTTCTTGGCTCTCTGTCAGGTCAGCATAGTTTTCCCTCCCAGGTATTTTGTCCCAAGGTCTGTTTCTTGAACACTGGGGAGGGGATGGTGACCTGAGGGAACTTTAGGCTCTAGTGAGACGTTGTCCTGAGATGTCATGGGGGCATTATAGTAAGCATCTGATAAACAATTTTCTGTATTTCAAATTGGTTGCCTTGAAAAATTAGGGGCTGGTGTACGATGAATGACTAAGATTTTTGTTAACAGCAACAAATTAGCTCATACCTAAAACCTATAATTTAGGTTTCATGTAGGCGATGAATGCGGGCTGGACATGTAAAATTTGGGAGTGTTTCCCCAACTGAGAAGCCCCAGATGCTGCGTATACAACCACTGATGTCTCTGGGCGGCTGTACAAGACTGTATGGCGAATATATGCCAGTATTTTTGTAAGACATATGCGTACAAATATATGCCTTGAATGCAGTCTTCATTTGAAGCATACGTTCGTACGCATGCACAAATTTAGGAAAGTATTGCCATATTCCTGCCATAAAGGCACTGATGTCTATGGGCAGCTGTATCCAGCACCTGTGGCTTCTTGAGAAGGGCAATAAGCCCACATTTTTTGTGTACAGCCCCCATTAACCTGTGTGTATGAGACTAAAACATTAAGCAAAGATTCTTATTAGTTGCCATGAGCTGCAGGAATTATTCTTCTTAGCACATTCTTCATATAATAGCCCTCTAGTGTTCCAGCACTCTAATGACAAAGAGATTCCCTACAAAGCTGAGTTCTGGCATTGGGGGAAAAGAAAATACAAACAATGTACAGTAGGAGAATCTAATGCTCACCACACAAGTTACAATCTGATTGTGCAATCTCCTTTAGATCTACCAGTCAGAAGAATGGCTGTCTCATTGGATAGAAATTGATTGGATAGATCAGGTAGGCCATCATATTACATAGTTTTGTTAAATCTGATAGTACAAAGGTTGTATGGTCAGATTTTAACACGCATGGTGACCCTAAGAGAAATTAGAAATCTGAAACTTACCTCAGGCAACTGCGGTAGAAATCTTGACTGCATCTTCGGTACCTTCTGTCTGTTCTTGTACGCGGGCTGTTCAAAATCAGATCACAGATACATTTATAAAGCATATCCCATGACACTGATGCTTCATTGTGAAGTATGTATCATTTTACAGACATTATCCTGATCTACGTGGAGGACTATGCAGATTTTTACAGTGAAATTTTAGTTCAGAATTCAAATTTCTGAAAACTCCCTCATTCAAAAACCTGTGTTTTCTTTAATGATCTCAGCCGTTTATACCTGTTAGATTATTAATGTAACTCTAACCAGTAAGGCTGAGGCTGCACTTACAATTTCAGATCGGGCTGTTGAATGATTAAAAGTCTCCCATGCTCTTTCATAGAACTTTCCTTGATAGATCGCTACATCTGTGACAGAGGCCTTTTATCTGACCTTCTACATGATAGCAGATACGTCATGAATCTGTATGATCATACCATGTCACAGAGGTAGTGACGGATCGCAAGTGTTTCTCTAAGCAATCACACTGGTTATTTAAAGCCTATCTCCAGGAAAAAGAAAACTCCCATTCTGGGGTACAGCTAGACCATGGCACCCAGGGCACATGCCCCACATCTTCTACTAAATGCCCCCGGATCTCGCTTGAGATATGGAAAAGATACATACTATGTATTATACAGTTTTGAAACATTGTCCTATTTATCTACTTTTCAATTCATCTTTTATTTTTATTTTTGTCATCATAATGTGACATTAAAGTTTTCAGACCAATTAATTTTTGTTCAGTTAAAAAGTTTATATTAGTCTTTGATTTGATTCAAAGTGGTCATCACGGTATCCTACCAGCCCCTCAACATTTTAATGCGTGCCCAGAGGTGCCCCTGATCTGTTAGTTGCCTTGAACCCTCCTGCTCCCATTGCAGTGGTGCAATCCCTGCACTGAAAGGGTTAACGGCTGGTTTTTGTCTGGGTGTATTATGTAAAGCATGTTTACTCACCTGATCTCTGCTCCAAAGAACAGCACCTGAAGCTTTTTCCTCTCTGTGTATCAGCAGTCAGAGGGCCGCTAGCGTCATTACATACAATGCGGAATCCGCAGCACAACAGTATATGTGAGGACGCTGAGGGACAGTGCACAAGCCGGAGTGGTGAGTGAATTACACGCATTCTCATAGTTAGAGCCGACCTGTGACATTGAAACTGGCTCTATTGATCGGGAAGTGATCATCTCCCTGCAGATAGCGGTGACTGTCAGCGCTGACGGGAGGAAAGGACAGAGTAGGGGGCAGGCACAGCTGGCTCTGCCTCTAGATGTCAATCAGCCAGCTGGGTGGATCTTGACAGCATTGTCGGGATCCGGCCCTGCCCGGCTGCGGCCATATACTGAGCTTTGGGTCACAGGTGGACGTTATTATATGTCCTCCCGTGACCCTAAAGAGAACTATGCAATAAAAAGGTCACCCCATAGTTCTGTTTTAATAGAATATTTAAAATCTGCATATGTAGTCATTGTCAAAGTAGAACGGAACTAATTTGGTTCAAGTTACATTAAATTGTATCATAACTGCTATATAAAATGTATATTCTGTGAAATGTATTCTACACAAAAGTCATGCAGAGATCAACAACAAATTTGGTTACAATGCAGTGATTTGAGCAGTGCCATGCACAGTCCATGGGAGATGTTCATTGTAGAAGGCATTAGGACTTAGCAAACATAATTGAACTTTCAGCCTGGGTTCACACTCCAGCGATTCATTGTTTGAGTGTCTTTACTGTTTTTAACAGCCAATGAAAAGCAGGTTACTGGGAGGAGATGACTACTGGTTGTCAGGTGTAAAGCATGCATGAATACTAGAGGTGCACCGAAATGGAAATTTTAAAACCGAAACTAAACCAAAATTAAAAAAATTGTCAGGCCGAAACCGATATCGAAAATATTTTTATTTTTATTTTTTTCAAATTTTTCAAATATTTTATTTTAACATTTTTTATAAACTATTAATATTTTTAATATTTATTTTTATTTATTAATTTATTTTGTATTTCATATTTTTATTTTTTACTTTACTTTTAGGGGCCTCGGTGAAATATTGGGGGCCTGAACAGACCCCTGATATTTCCCTTTTAAAATAGAAAAAGAGATTGAGGACACAAAGTCCTCAATCTCTTTTTCTGTATCCCCTGTTATCCTCTATGAGTGTTTCTGTTCCTTCATAACATGTGGACAGAGTATGTTTACTATAACTACAACTATGAATGAACAGGAGGTGATGTAGATCACTCCCATTCATTCATAATTGAGGATATAGTAACCATACTCTGTCCTCAATTATGCACAAACACTGATCGCTGAGTGTTTGCTCTCACTCTCCTCTCTGACACGCTGTCACAGGAGGCTGAGCGAGCGGAGCAGGGAGGAGAACTCAGCCTCCTGTGACAGCACGTGCTGTCTCCGCCCACACGCCACTCTGCCGGACTGTGATAGGAGGCTGAGCGGTGTGGGAGAAGAAGCTGGCCGCTCACAGTGCTCTCCTCCCGCAGCGCTCGGCCGGCTATCACAGTTTCTCTCCTCCCCGCTGGGACACCGAGCAGCGCCCAGCGGGGAGGAAAGAAAGAATGGATGCGCCGCTGTATCGGCGTTATGGCATTATGCCAAAAGTGTCATTTTCGGCCGATATATTTCGGCGGCCTATATATCGGTGCATCCCTAATGAATACGCATGTTTCCAGTCTTTCCTATCTAAAGTCTAAATGGCCAACAAACGCGCAATCCTGACCAAAGAAGCGCCTGCACTTTGTGCAGATCTGAACAGGCCCCATAGAACTTAATGGAAATCTTACAGTCAAGTGTTGTGCTTCGCTCGGGTACAAACAGATGCTAACATGCTAACACATTTGGTATTTTGAAGCTTTGTTTATTTTATTCATGCTTTTTTTGTAGTTTGCAGACTTTTTTGTTTCAGTCAGTGGAAATCTAGTTACTAGGAGGAGGAGATGGTTGTTAGGCATAAAGGCTACCATTGAAGTCTATGGGGCCAAAAGCACAGTGCCAGATTTACCATTAGGCAGAGTAGGCAGAGTAGGCACATGCCTACAGGCACCCTCCATAGAGGAGTGCCATGCAGCTACATGCCCTGCCTAATTCCCGGAGTTGTGTCAAGATACAACACTGGCAATAGAAAGGAGGGTGCATTCTACACTAAATGCACCCTCCTCCTCCAAGACCAGCAGTGCCTACAGGAACCTCTGGCATTCGCAAACGCAGGGGAAGGACCTCGGCGCTGCGTAAGGCTGCATTGTGTGATGCTGACAGGTGTTTAGAGCAGCCTTACGCAACGCCTGGGTCCTCCTCTGCATTTGTGAAAGACAGCAGGTAAGGGTACCGGCTCGGGCTCAACAGATTTCCATTCGTGCCTACAGGCGCCCCAAATCGAAATCCGCAATGTAAAAACATGATTCTGCCATGAAAAGTATTTCATGTACTTTTTCCAGCTACAAGCAACACGACGCTCAACTGTGACTAGGCTCCATTGAAGATAATGGGATTCTTCATGGTGAGGTTGTCACACTTTGGGAAACCGGCAACAAATCGCACAGGTGTGAATGGGATTCTAATAAAAATGATCAGAAGCTTACCTGGTCCATTGTACAGATCTCCTCTACTCCTCAATATGAAGACATAAGTAATGTCAGTGCCAATCACTGCTCTGGAGAAGTTGTAGTCACTCTGTTGCTAGGCAACCGACTCTTAAAAACGGGATTTTGCGAAGATTGGCTATATGGAAAAAACTCACAAGTGAAGCCAACACCATTTATACGGCATAGTTGGCTGCAGCTTGCAGGTTTCGTCCGTCTTTCCTCAATGTTTCTATCCGGGTCTATTCGCAGAGTTCCAAAGCGAACCCAGTTCAAGGAGCTTCACAAGTTTGTGCTGCGGAAAGCTGTTGCTATAGAAGCTGCCGAGAGCTATGGAGGGGCGGAGCGCCGGGAGTGGGCGTGTCTCCTGGAAGTGTCTCCGGGAGTTGCGCCGCCATGTTTTTGGTTTCAACCTATGCTGCATTGTGAACTGTCAGAGAGATGGCAAAGCTGTTAGAGCCGAGTACTCTGATATCCGCTACATCGTGCCATTAATGAGACCCACTGATTCCTGCACCGTTTTCTCTTGCTATTGTCTTATTTATTATTTTTGAAATGATAAATTGTGTATGAACATTTATCTATCTTATTTATTGTTGTTATTACTCTGGCTTTCTTTTGCTGTGCTAACAGCCCTAGGCTCCAACGATTGTAGGAATCACTCCAAATACATTGTCATGTTACATTTTATCAGCTAGTAAAAAACAACCACATTACAAAATAAAGGGACATTTCACCTAAGCAAATAATAAATGCAAACATCTTAAAAGAAAATATGTGCATTTATAAATTTTTTTGTATAGGAGCCAGTAAAAACATTGTAACTGCAATCAGTGGATGGCGGGTGCAATGCTCTGGCTACTGCTCCTGCAGACTCTTCTTCCCATCCATGATCTTACTTTGGTATAGAAATTCAGTAACAGGGACAGGAAGGAGTGTCAATGGGCTACAAGTGCAGTGATGTCACTACACCTACAGTATATTCCATTCAGAAGTGCAAGTCCTTATGCCATGGTAACTTATGGGATTTGTAGGTTTTTTCATTCACAGATCCTGTCAAATGGGTGACTCTGAGGGGTGTGGCCACTGAGGGGCGCTGTAAAGCTTTCTCGCACAGGGCGCCTAAAGGCCTAAGGCCGGCCCTGTGGGTGACTGTGTGGGCAGAGCCATGCACAGTCGTACCAAATTCAAAAATATATACCTGCAGGTAGAAGAACCCTGTGATTCAGGTAAGTGGACGGTGACTGCAATCTGATCATGTACACCCTAAATATGGATGTAACATGAAACATTGTCAGAAAGGTAAACTTAGCCTTCAAGTGCTATTTAGTATTATATCATGTGGTCATGAAGGTGGGATAAATATTGATAGGTGACACTGACAAGAGGAATATGCAATAGTCACATGGGGCTGACCATAAACTGCA